AAATACAAGAACTAATCATCCCCTGCATCCAGGATAAGGAAATGCAAGAACTAATCATCATCTGCATCCAGGATAAGGAAATGCAAGAACTAATCATGACCTGCATCCAGGATAAGGAAATACAAGAACTAATCATCACCTGCATCCAGGATAAGGAAATGCAAGAACTAATCATCATCTGCATCCAGGATAAGGAAATGCAAGAACTAATCATGACCTGCATCCAGGATAAGGAAATGCAACATAGTATTCTGGCAGGGCAGGTCATTAGTCTTGTTTGGCAGACATTATGGCTACACCAAGTTATGTTATGTTATTTCATGTCATGTTTTGTTCTGTGGTGTCATATTATGTGATGTTATGTCATTAAAGCTGTCATGTAACATTATGTCATGTTTTGTGATTTAATGCCATGTTATGTGATGTAATATTATGTGATGTAATGTAATCTGATGTTATGTTATGTGATGTCATGTAATGTTGTGTGATTTCATGTAATGTAATCTGATGTCATGTTATGTGATGTCATGTCATGTAATGTGGTATCATGTAATGTTATGTGATGTCATGCAATCTGTTGTCATGTTATGATGTGATGTCATGTAATCTGATGTCATGTCATGTAATGTTATGTGATGTTATGTCATGTCAATCAATGTCACTGCACACTGGGTGTTTCCATGCATGCTCAATCTTTGGGCTACCACAAGAAACCTCTACTGACTGCCCTCATTAGAAGCTGGTTACAATGTCTTTGTGTCTGCATCAAGTACCAAGACTCAAGGGGAAGGTGAGACAGATATACTGTCAGACTGTCACCATTAGAAGCTGGTTACAATGTCTTTGTATCTACATCAAGTATCAAGACTCAAGGGAAAGGTGGGACAGATATACTGTCAGACTGTTCCCATTAGAAGCTGGTTACAATGTCTTTGTATCTACATCAAGTATCAAGACTCAAGGAAAGGTGGGACAGATATACTGTCAGACTGCCCCCTTTAGAAGCTGGTTACAATGTCTTTGTATCTACATCAAGTATCAAGACTCAAGGAAAGGTGGGACAGATATACTGTCAGACTGTTCCCATTAGAAGCTGGTTACAATGTCTTTGTATCTACATCAAGTATCAAGACTCAAGGGGAAGGTGAGACAGATATACTGTCAGACTGTTCCCATTAGAAGCTGGTTACAATGTCTTTGTATCTACATCAAGTATCGAGACTCAAGGGGAAGGTGGGACAGATATACTGTCAGACTGTTCCCATTAGAAGCTGGTTACAATGTCTTTGTGTCTACATCAAGTATCAAGACTCAAGGGAATGGTGAGACAGATATACTGTCAGACTGTTCCCATTAGAAGCTGGTTACAATGTCTTTGTGTCTACATCAAGTATCGACACTCAAGGGGAAGGTGGGACAGATATACTGTCAGACTGTTCCCATTAGAAGCTGGTTACAATGTCTTTGTGTCTACATCAAGTATCAAGACTCAAGGGGAAGGTGGGACAGATATACTGTCAGACTGCCCCTATTAGAAGCCGGTTACAATGTCTTTGTGTCTACATCAAGTATCAAGACTCAAGGGAAAGGTGAGACAGATATACTGTCAGACTGTTCCCATTAGAAGCCGGTTACAATGTCTTTGTATCTACATCAAGTATCAAGACTCAAGGGAAAGGTGAGACAGATATACTGTCAGACTGTTCCTATTAGAAGCTGGTTACAATGTCTTTGTGTCTACATCAAGTATCAAGACTCAAGGGAAGGTGAGACAGATATACTGTCAGACTGTTCCCATGGGAAGCTGGTTACAATGTCTTTGTATCTACATCAAGTATCAAGACTCAAGGGAAAGGTGAGACAGATATACTGTCAGACTGTTCCCATTAGAAGCTGGTTACAATGTCTTTGTGTCTACATCAAGTATCAAGACTCAAGGGAAGGTGAGACAGATATACTGTCAGACTGTTCCCATGGGAAGCTGGTTACAATGTCTTTGTATCTACATCAAGTATCGACACTCAAGGGGAAGGTGGGACAGATATACTGTCAGACTGTTCCCATTAGAAGCTGGTTACAATGTCTTTGTGTCTACATCAAGTATCAAGACTCAAGGGGAAGGTGAGACAGATATACTGTCAGACTGTTCCCATTAGAAGCTGGTTACAATGTCTTTGTGTCTACATCAAGTATCGACACTCAAGGGAAGGTGGGACAGATAAACTGTCAGACTGTTCCCATTAGAAGCTGGTTACAATGTCTTTGTGTCTACATCAAGTATCGACACTCAAGGGGAAGGTGGGACAGATATACTGTCAGACTGTTCCCATTAGAAGCTGGTTACAATGTCTTTGTGTCTACATCAAGTATCAAGACTCAAGGGGAAGGTGAGACAGATATACTGTCAGACTGTTCCCATTAGAAGCTGGTTACAATGTCTTTGTGTCTACATCAAGTATCGACACTCAAGGGAAGGTGGGACAGATATACTGTCAGACTGTTCCCATTAGAAGCTGGTTACAATGTCTTTGTGTCTACATCAAGTATCGACACTCAAGGGGAAGGTGGGACAGATATACTGTCAGACTGTTCCCATTAGAAGCTGGTTACAATGTCTTTGTGTCTACATCAAGTATCAAGACTCAAGGGGAAGGTGAGACAGATATACTGTCAGACTGTTCCCATTAGAAGCTGGTTACAATGTCTTTGTGTCTACATCAAGTATCAAGACTCAAGGGGAAGGTGGGACAGATATACTGTCAGACTGCCCCTATTAGAAGCCGGTTACAATGTCTTTGTGTCTACATCAAGTATCAAGACTCAAGGGAAAGGTGAGACAGATATACTGTCAGACTGTTCCTATTAGAAGCTGGTTACAATGTCTTTGTGTCTACATCAAGTATCAAGACTCAAGGGAAAGGCGAGACAGATATACTGTCAGACTGTTCCCATTAGAAGCTGGTTACAATGACTTTGTGTCTACATCAAGTATCAAGACTCAAGGGGAAGGTGGGACAGATATACTGTCAGACTGTTCCCATTAGAAGCTGGTTACAATGTCTTTGTGTCTACATCAAGTATCAAGACTCAAGGGAAAGGCGAGACAGATATACTGTCAGACTGTTCCCATTAGAAGCTGGTTACAATGTCTTTGTGTCTACATCAAGTATCAAGACTCAAGGGAAGGTGAGACAGATATACTGTCAGACTGTTCCCATTAGAAGCTGGTTACAATGTCTTTGTATCTACATCAAGTATCGACACTCAAGGGGAAGGTGGGACAGATATACTGTCAGACTTGTTCTATCAGAAGTGGAGCTCTATGCTTGTTGCTGTAGACGGGTACGCAGCACTTATGGGAATGTCTTGAATGCTGTGATGTCAATTCTCGATTCAACATTCTTGCAGGTTTGTGTGGCTAAGGATGTGTGGTGACTGCATCATTAAGACAGGAAGATAATACTATTCTTCTGTGGCAACAATACTGATAGCATTGTTGCCCTTTGTGTTTACAAACATAAAAGAAAACAATAAAACGGTAAATAAAATACAGTGAATACCAGCTTTGCCTGTGAATACATAGTGTGAGGTATCTCTGTGCAAAGGTTAACAATTTGTTTTTTATAATCATAACAATAAAAAAAAAATAATAACATTTAAAGACTGTTTACATTAAAAAAGAAAACAGCAAACACGTGTAGAAAATGTAGGAGTATTACAGTAATGAATAAGTTACTGACATAAATGCTTAATTCACCATCCTAACTGGCATTACAATGTTTTTCAAACATTATTCACTGACCCTGAGCCAAAATGGTGCAGGCTAAAAGTTAAATGACCCTCAGAGCACAAGGCCAATAGCTTCACCACCTCGCCACTGAGGCCTGTGTTTACCATGCGTTTCCACGGAAAACCAGACAAGGTCTTATATTAATTTCTGCTTCATAAAATGGACTAGGGCTTATTTTCGGAGGGCTTATTTTTGGGGATGCCTTTTGTAAAAATTTGTTTAAGATTAAAATATACAAGTCATATTCTTCTGGAAGTCGTCCTAACTCTCTGAATCCTGAACTCCACTCTGAGTTTGGTATGGCTTGAAGATTGGGACTCAGAGCTTTGCCCATGTAGACAGTTACCACAGAATACATGCTCTCGAAGGCTCTCAAAGCATGAAATTTTAATTAAAATACAAACAGGCACATGACTGGTTCTGCAACACATTTGTAAAAACACACGTCTGGTTCTGCAAGATGTTCATATTTTGAAAACTCCTAATTGGTTCTGCAAGACGTTCATATTTTGAAAACACCTGATTGGTGCTGCACGACGTTCATATTTTGAAAACACCTAAATGGTTCTGCAAGACGTTCATATTTTGAAAACACCTGACTGGTACTGCAAGATGGTCATATTTTGAAAACACCAAACTGGTTCTGCAAGATGTTCATATTTTAAAAATACCTGATTGGTTCTGCATGATATTCATGTACTAAATACAAAAATCTGAATTGGAAAATATTCTTGGAATTAAACACAGAATCCACACAGTATAAAACATGACTGAAACAAGTTAATGCGTTTGTTTCATACACCATAATAATTTATGCAAGAATGGATTTAGTCATGACAACCAATGCAGGAAAAGTCCACAGTTTACAGGATCCCATCACAGGATCCCAGTTCAGGGGGGTCCCCTAGAGAATGTCAATCCATGGAAACATGTCTTTTTTGTTTTTTGATTATGTCATTATGTAACAGCACATAATATATAAAACACATTTCCAGAGCCATCTTCCCGATGAAAGCAAGCCTGATCAGAACGCCCAGGAGAGATGCCTTCCAAAGCAGAAGACGACAATCCAAAACCACTTTGCTTAGCTGTTTATAGTAATAATGAGTATTCTGACTGTTGGAGTTCAATCTTTTGGTGGATACTCCACTGCCAGGGTATCCTTGTGAGAAGGTAGAAGATCAAAACCAAGTAGTCCTTCCAACATCTGCTACAGTTTGCGCACTTGAAGTCCCTGAAAACCTTGCGAACTCAGCTGGGCTTCCTCAAAAGCTTGTCTTCCAACCTCACCTGCAGAAGCAAGGCCAGATAAACACTGATCAATCATCATGTTAACTATCACCATCACCATCATTTCATTTTACTGCACTGCTTCAGAAGCATATGGTCCACCCCTCAAGCTAGTTAGCTTTCAGGAGAAATTCTCTCTATCAATCCATCTTTGAGAGACAGAGGCACACGCACACACAGACAGAGAGGCAAACACGCAAACAGAGATAAACAGATAGAGAGAGACAGAAAGGAACACACGCAAACAGAGAGAAACAGAGAGAGAGAGACAGAGGGGCACACACACATAGAGAGACAGAGAGATAGATTCTCTAAATTAGAGAGAATAAGGGAATGAGAAATGGAGGGAGAGGGAGTGAATAAGAAGGAAAGAGAGTGATAAGGAAAAAGGGTTTGAGAAGAAGAAAGAGGAGAGGTAAAGATGCAGGGAAAGGGACTGAGAAAGAGATAGAAGACTGTGAGGGAAACTGGAAAAAAAAAGGGCAGAAGAGGGTGGGGGAACGTGGGTGGGGGAAGGGGGGAATGGATAGAGAGAGGTGAGATAAATAATTAATGAACAAACTTTATTTTCCCAGGGTTACAAAATGGGCACATATGCCCATCTCCTGCCCTTCCACACACTAATCTTTCACCCGGCAAAAATATGTCATTTATAAAACATTTTATGTTTACATAACATAATGTGAATATCAAATTAAAAACACAAAAGCATCTAAATGCATAAATTGGAATATACAAACACATATATTATTCATGCGTACATTTTGACAGTGCACATATGCAGACACAGGGAGGGGAGGGGGGGGGGGGGAAGGAAGATGAGGAGAGAGGTCAGACAGAGACAAATGGAGGAAGAAGGAGTGAGAAACCTATATCACTAAGGCTATAGGAAAATCTTTACATCAGCATCACTTTAAAAATATCCCTATGGTTCACAAGACACCCACCCCCTTTTCCTCAATGCTATTTATAGAACTTTCTTTTCAAAATAAATACATTGATATTTTAATATCCTGGACACTGTGCAGGCACAAACACAACCAGTGGCATTAACTCTTTGAGTCCCAAGGAACGCATCATACGTTCATAGGTTCCTACCTAGAAGCCCAATGAATGCAAGATGTGCCGATTTTATGACTCTTTTTACTACCCTCTGGGCCTGTGATGCTAAACCCCCTGGGACTCAAAGAGTTAACCTTTGTATGTCATAAACTCATAAATGAAGAAATGCAGAGTAAGTGTCATTGGGGAAAGGGGGGGGGGGGGAAGAATTGAACTCTACGTGCCAGGTTTGCAGATAACTAGGATGAAAGGGTTAAACCTAGACACCCAGTCATCATTTTAGAAAATGCAACTTGATGTGGATTTAAACCAAAGACCTTCAGGTCAGCAGGTAAATGTCTACAGCACGGGTAGCTTTGAGTTATATAAAACAAAATGGACAGCAAACTTACCAAATGAATATAATGCTTCTTTAGCCTTTCTGCGTACAGTTGATGAGCTGTCTGACTGACATACGTGGACCAGCTGTTCAATGCTCTCCTCTGCCTGGAAATCATATAAACACACAAGAATCAGTCAATGATCTATGGCAGTGGCTCTCAAACTTCCTAATGCGGCGACCCTTTAATACAGTTCCTCATGTTGTGATGACCCCCAACCATAAAATTATTTTCATTGCTACTTCATAACTTCAGTGAATATGTGGCTTCCGATGGTCTTAGGTGACCCTTGTGGAATGGTTGTTCGACCCCCAAAGGGGTGGCGACCCACAGTTTAAAAAACGCTGATCTAAGTGGTTTACAAGAATTATGCAGAGAAGGCAGGTAGATAATGAGGTTATAAAGAAGGGGAGGACTTCAGATGACTTTCCATCTTGTTCTTGGTCTCCTTGTGCTCTAGGTCCCTCTCCTCTTTTGGGGGAATTTGTTTCTTTGAAGCATTCACTGGCTTTAAACCCCAATGGAAAACCCTTGTTTGTTCTCTTCTGGACTTGGGTCTTGTTCCAGAACTTGAGTCTTTTAATGCACATCTATTTTACAGATGTGTCTTACTAGTTAGCAGACTATTACTTCCTTGCCTCTCAGGCAGACACACCCTGACTGTGATGGTAACACACCTAATACAATGTTTGTTGGGGGAGGGGGGAGGAAGAGAAAGGGGAGGAAGAGAAGAAGGGATGAGGAAGAGGAGGGGGTGAGGAAGAGGGGGAGGGGGTGAGGAAGAGGAGGAGGGGGGTGAGGAAGAGGGGGAGGGGGTGAGGAAAAGGGGTGGTTGGTACAGGTCTGTTCTTTTTTTTTTTCTCTCCAAAAATTAGGGCCTATGAACCCACACAGAGATGGGGAAATTCAAAAATATGATCAGGATAAAACAAAACTTAAAATGCAATGCAAGTCAGGGTTTCATGAACACACAGAAATATAGGTCCCACGCACTGGGCTCCCAGATGTGAGAAGTTAAAACAGACTCACCTCAATAATTGTGAGAGCAACACAGCATCCAGCCCGGACTTCTGCAATGTGATCCTCTAGTCCTTCCACTAGAACCACCATGGCCTGGCAGACAAAGGTAGAGAAGCATGTACATGTGTATGAGTATGGATGAAAATGTGTGTCTAAGTGCTTCTTATTTTATTTGTTATTTTATTCTTATTTGAAAATGCCATTACTGTCTGCATTTAGAATTTAGGGCCTTATGGTTAGTGCTGTTGTTCCGGACTGTGCAGATCAGGACTTTATTTTTGCTTCAACAGAACAGAAACTACCTACACTTACTGGGGATTCAAACACAGGTCTTCCAGTTGAGATACCCATTTGGCCAGCCACTTCTTATTTTATAGGTATGTCCTTGTGTGGGTTGTAGGGTCTCATTTTTTTGGGGGAAGCCCGCCCCACCCTACGCCCCCCCCCCCCCCCTGTAGCAAGCATGTCCTAAAGGCTGACTAACTAGAGGTATGTCCTTTGAATTTGGAGTGCATCTGTCTGAGAGGTGTAGAACCAACAGCCTGCATACAAATAAGCCAGATCTGTAAAATGGATAGGCATGCCAAACAAAAGTTTTGGAACATGACTAAAGTCCAGAAGTGGTCAAACAACCAGAACTTTCTGCCGGAGTTTAGAACTGATGGAGCACCAAGAAGTAAGTAAAGGACCCTTTTCACCTTCAGGTGTGTTGGGCACAAAAAGTTAGATCTATACAGACCAATCCATTTAAGGCTGGGATGCCCTGGGAGCAAAGGTCATTTCTGAAAAATGTCCAGGTCCATTGGGTCTGAACGACCTTTTGATGTGCAGGTGTGCGTCCAGCACTATGTTGCCGTGAGAAACATTATGTGTGTCTAACTTTACATATTTTTTGTTTACGTACTTTGAATATTGTATTTTGTGTACATGTCTAATTTTTTTTTAATCTGTATGTATGCCTAATTTCTGTTTTTTTGTATTAAGTCTAATTTCTTATTTAGTATGTTACCACAGCATAGCTGTAAACCACAACATTCCAACATCCCTTTTAAGGACAGTCATAAAAGAAAAAGAAATGTGTTTCAGAACTGCGTCTGTGTAGCCAGGGTCAAATAATGCTATCCACTGTAACCTACTATGTATGTCACAAGAAGCAACAAAGGAGGGTTGGCATAAAAACTGGCTACCTTATCCCACACACAACTTTAGTTGTAAAACAGTCTGTAAGACATTTAGCATGAGTTGGTTGACAGTATACTTCCATTAGAAAATCAATGGAAGCAGAAGAAGACGACGATGAAGTAGAAGAGGAGGAGGAAGCAGCAGCAGCAGAAAAAGATTATGACGATGATGATGATTGATGATAATTGATGATGACGACTATGACGCTGCCGAGGATGAGGATGGAGGAGGAGGAGGAGGAGAAGAAGACAGAGATGAAGAAGAAGAAGAAGAAGAAGAAGAAGAAGAAGAAGACGATGGAGGAGAAGAAGAAGATGATGGAGGAGAGGAAGAAGAAAAAGATGAATAAGACAACGGAGGAGAAGAAGAAGATGAAGAAGACAATGGAGGAAGAGAAAAAGAAGAAGACGACAGAGGAGGAGGAGGAGAAAAAGAATAAAAGAAGTAGAGTAGGAGAAGACTTGGAGAATGAAGCTTTCTGGTATCAGTCAATTAGAAATTCAAGAGGACTTTACCTTGTCCCTTTGAGCTTTGTCCCTGCTGATGATCTTGAGATAAGATGTGGCCGACTGCTGGGTCTCTCGCGTGTTGCCGACCAAGAGTTTGGTCAGCATCTTCAGGCAGGCAGGAGGTGGCAGGTCCTCTCGTAAAGTTAGAATAGCCTTAATGACAATGTCACTAGAGTTGGCATTCAGGCGGTCCAAGAGGCACACTGTGAGCGAGTATTGGGAACAAATGACGTAATCATGTGAGATTTGACTGATGAGCGTAAAATGTTAGACTTGTTATTGTCCTGTCTAAAAACAGGGATTAAAAGTGCCTTTATTGAAAGAATGGGTGGAGTTCTGAAGAGGCAGTGAGAGTGAGAGAGGAGAAAGGTAAAGACATGATAGAGGAAGAAGACAAACTTGACAGCTAGAGAAAACAACATAAGAACTGACATAATATATTGTAGGAGAGAGAGAGAGAGAGAGAGAGAGAGAGAGAGAGAGAGAGAGAGAGAGAGAGAGAGAGAGAGAGAGAGAGAGAGAGAGAGAGAGAGAAAGAGAGAGAAAGAGAGAGAGAGAAAGAGAGAGAGAGAGAGAGAGGGGAAGGGAGATGGGGGGAGGGAGAGAGAGAGAGAGAGAGAGAGAGAAAGAGAGAGAGAGAGAGAGAGAGAGAGAGAGAGAGAGAGAGAGAGAGAGAGAGAGAGAGAGAGAGAGAGTCAGAGTTAAGATAGCAAGTTATTAAAACTTTGAATATTTTGGGACAAGTCAAGGGTGACAAATAAACAAAGGGGAGAGGGTGATGAGAAAGGACATGGTGATGAAATCATCAAAGATGCAAACAGTGGATGATAATGGACAGTGAGAAGCAACATACAACGGATACATCATCCGTTTGCTTTGATCACTGGCATCATGAGAGCTAATAGACTGAAATGACTGGGGCATACTGAGAGAACATTAGATGACAACTGTGTACACAAAGGGTGAATAGCTGTAGATGACAAGACAGACCAAGAAGACCACGGTAGACCTACAAACACTTGAGTCACCAACTAGGAAGAGAGGGACAATCCGAGTGATCAATTGTAAAGTAAAAAGTAAAGTTCCCTTTTCACGCCTTTCGGCGCATCGGGCATATGGGCAGAGCGTCCCATATTTTTACAGACCATCAGCACTCTGTGGGTAATGTGGTCAGCATTACGCCGGCTGTCTTTACTTTCCCAGGACAGCCCATCCTGGTACCCATTTTAGGCTGGGTTGACCTGCGACGTCCCATACCACGATAAAAATCCACGCAGCCTGCAGTGGGTTTCGATCACGGTATGCTGGCTTACGAGTCGGACTCGCAACGCCTTAGCCATGGACGCCGCGTGATGAATAGAGGTAGGTGATATCTGCAGCACTGAACCCCATGGACTTGGAATGCTGAAGGGAAAGTGAAAGAAGAGAAGGAAGAAGGGAGAGGAGGAGCGGGAGGAGGAGAAGGAGGAGGAGGTGATGAAACTGATCATGTAAAAGTTTAAGTTCAAAATTAATTACAGAAAACAATGGAGTGTTTAATCAGAGTGTATTCAGATGACAAGGGATTTTAGAAAAAAAAAAAAAAAATTTGTGGGGCAATAAACAATAGAATTGTTTTTGTTTTGTTCAGTTACCTAACAGTTAGAGAAGAGACAGAGATGTATAGTGGTTAGGGCAGTAGCTGTTGACTATGTCAGGTGTTCTCACAGAAGTTTTTAAGTTGAGTTGAGTTGATTCAAAAACTGACATCACAGCATTCGGGGCATTCCCATAAGCGCTCCATCTCTATCTTCAGCAGCCAGTGAAGAGTTCCGATGCTAATGGTGCCAGTAGTATTCTGATTAAATGTCTGTCTTACCTTTTCTCTGAGCCTTGAGCATCTGCCAGAACCTCTCGTCACCCCCCCCCCCCCCCCCCCATCCCGAATCAATCTCACCAGACTATGGTGATCCATGTGCTCCTCCGAACTGTACACGCTCTCCCATAAGGCACTAACCACGTCTGCCTTATCATGCATTAGTATTCCACCAAGTTGTGCAGAGCCAGCCAGTCTGTCCGCATGTTCATTTCCCAACACACCGGCGTCTCCCAGTGAGATAACATTTGTTTTAAAATTTGTTTGATCTTAGGAGTATGACTGAGGTTAGTACTGCCTCATGAAATGGTTACTGGAAAAATATGAGAGAACTGTCTGAAAAGGATGGGCAGTGAGGGAAGAAGTCGGTCACCACATAGCATTATTTTATGGCCTACACTGTGTGAATATTTAATAATTCACATATTAAATAGCAGAGACTGTCTTGGAATGATCTTTGCCAAAAGGATTAACGACGAGAGCAACATGATTGTTTTCAACTGAATAAAGATGATGTAACATCTCTTTCTGCCAACATATTCCACAGGCCCTAAGACATCGGTTCTCAACCTGCCGGTCGTGACCCTTTTGTGTGTGTGTCAAACGGCCCTTTCACTGGCGCAGCCTAAGACCATCGGGAAACACAAATTCATTGAAGTTGTGAAGGAAAATAATTGCCTGGGGGTTGCCACAATATGAGGGAACTGTATTAAAGAGCTGCAGCATTAGGAAGATCGAGAGCCACTGTCCTAAGGGACCACAAAGAATAGAAGCCCCCGTAACCTACCACGCATGTTATAAAAGATGACTAAGGAAGGTCGGCATGAGACGACCTCAAAACTTTAACTGCAAAATGAAACAAGTCATGAATAAGTATAATTGGCCAGATTTGATTGCACTGGGGTTTTATCCCATGTGGCTCGGTCTCGCTCCTCAGAATGGCTAGCCATCTATCGGGATTGTTGCACAAAGCATGAACTCTATAGCTCCAGTGACAATCCATGAGGATTTTCATATAAATTGCACTCATGAACACGTGAAGACTGCAGCTGTGAAACAAACCCACGACCTTCAGGATGCAAAGCAAATGGTTGGACCACTTCACCATGGAAACCGACCTGATGTGAGTTGGTTGAGAGCCTATTGCTTTCTTGGCAAATGAAAGGCATTGGAAGACGAATCAAAGAATCTCTCTCTGTGTGTCCCAGACCTACAACACGTGTGGTTGTAAGTAAGGGAAGCCTCATCATCAAGCCTGTGGTACATCCGAGCTAAGGCCCACAGATTTACGGGCCAGTCTCCTCCTGTGGGTTCATGAGCCTCATTATGGAGGGGACAAAAGAATAGACCAACTGTCCTCTGCCCCAAACAAGCATGTCATAAAAGTCAACTAATTAGGGATGATTATTTCAATGTCAGAGTGCATCTGCCTGAGAGGTGAGCAACCAACAGTCTGCTTACCAGGGAGCCAGATCTGTAAAACAGATATGCACGCAAAGCTCAAGTTCTGGAACAAGACTAAAGTCCAGAAGTGGACGAACAACCAGAACTTTCCCCCTGGAATTTACAGCCCGTGAATGCTAAGAAGAAGATGACATCCAGGAAGGCTAACCCAGGCAAAGCAACAACAAAAATGCCTGAAGAAGATAGATGGGTCAGTCGAAAGCCAAGATTAATGCAGCAATGCTGTAAAAGAGCATAAGGCAATTAATTCTCCAATTCTGGAATCCCCTGCACCATCAGGGTAGGAAGAAGCCACATGTACACAAAATTTAAAATTGGCGAATCAGCCATGTGCACATGTGGACCAGCACCTGAGACAACAGATCATGCCCTCCAAGACTGTCCCAAATACAACATGGGTGCAGGTCAAACTGTACGGGTCACTGAGTGAATTACAAAAGACAGTGAAGTTCATGCTAAGAACAACATTGCAGATATAGATAATCTATTTCAAGCGAAAGAAAGAAGAAGAAGAAGGTAGGAAGAGATCGCTGGAACGGGCCCTTATGTTCGCTTCATAAAGAGTACTTTTCAGTGTGTCCCTTATTTCCATTGCCTTTCTTCTGCATGGCTGACCCCTGGCAAAATAAGGCAATTACAACCTGGGATAAATGCAGAAGCACACACAATCAATCAGTCAATCAGGTGCCATCTCCACAATGAAGGCTGGCTACAATGGATCTACAACATGCTCTGTCTCTTTTCTTTGTTGTACACTGCTGCTATTCACCATTCTCTTGATGTTTCCTCCCACTTGTAACACAGTTTACCTCTTGCTCTCAACCTTGCCTTCCAGTAGGGTTTTTATAAGCGTATTTTGTCTTTTGATGTGGCAGAAATATTTTAACTGTCTCGTTTTATTTTTATTTTCTTTTTCTTTTAGAAGAATACGGAAGAAATGATATTACTTACACCTGGGTGAGTCCCAGAGCCCCATTGCGGGGAAAAGAAGAAAAGGCCCACTGCCTTTCCACCAAGCTTGTCGTAGGAGTCGACTAACTGGGAGCTTCCTTTGAAGTTGCAGTGCAATTGCCAGAGTGACCAGAAACAAACAACTACACATATGTTAGCCAGTAAAACCTATGTACACGCAAAACTCAGGCCCTGGCACGAAGCCAAAGTCCAAATGGATGAACAACCAGGACTTTCTGCCGGAGCTTACAGCCAGCGAACAGAGAAGAAGAAGAAATTACTTACATTCTTCTGCCATGCGGTCCAGCTTTGTCAGCCCGCTCCCATCCTGGAAGTACAGCATGAACTGATGCAGTGTGACGATGGAGGTGTGGCCTAGCTCAGGGATGTATGACGGAACATCCAGCACACGAGCCATCAGCTGGCAGAACACTGAAAACACAAGCAGAATATCGTAAGGATCTCTCTCCAGGCGTATGGGTATACAGCGTTATTCTCTAATTTTTTTTTTTAACAGACAGCATATAGTACTACTCTCCATTTTGTATGCTAGTCTAATTTTTTTTTATAGAGGGCATATAGTGCTAATCTATATTTTTAAAGGGCATATAGCGCTGATCACTATTTTCAAAGGGCATATAGCCAAACTGCCAACTACTGCCTTTATTATACCACTTTTGCAGTGTTGGCAAGAGGGTCTTTGAGCCTAAGGATTTACCGCCGCATGGCTAGTGCTGTCCCCACGACTGTGCAGGTGAGGATTTTATTTTAGGGCATATAGGACCAATCTCTATTTTTTAAAGGGCATATAGTGATAATCTCTATTTTTTTATAGACATAATACAGGACTACTCTCTATTTTGTGTACAGAACATGTGGTGCTAATCTAAATTTTGTTATAGAGGACATATAGCACTAATCTCTAGTCTTTAAAGTGCATATAGTGTAAATCTATATTCTTTAAAGGGCATATAGTGCTAATCTATATTCTTTAAAGGGCATAAAGTGTTAATCTCCATTCTTTAAAGGGCATATAGTGTTGATCTCCATTCTTTAAAGGGCATATAGTGTTGATCTCTGTTTTTCTTACAGTAAGCATATAGAACTAATTAATTTCTATTTTGTATACAGGACATATGGTGCCAATCTCAACCTTTTTATAGAGGGCATTTTATGCTAATCTCAAATTTTTGTTGAAAGGTCAAAGACTACTAATCTCAATCTGTTTGAATAGAGTGCATATAGAATTAATCTCTATCTTTTAAAGAGGGAATATAGTGATAATCACTAATTTAAAAAAAAAATTTTTTAAACAGAGGGCATATAGCCCTAATCTATTTTTTTTTTAAATACACAGCTTGCAGCGCTAATCCAAATTTGTATTCACTGGTCACCACTTGTTAGGTCAATATCATGCTGACTGCTTTTACTTCACAGAAAATTTCCTCATATCCAGAGGTAGATAGAATTAACAATAATTTAGGAGCTAGCCTTTTTTTCTCATGAGTGCAGTCTAGTAAATACTTATATCGTAGAAAGAAAGACACAAAGTTTGTACTGTAGAAAGACAGACACAAAGTGCGTATTGTTGAAAGACGGACACAAAGTCTCTAGTACACAAACTACGCATTGCAGAAAGTCTGTATTCAAAACAAAGAAATGAAAATTACTCACCTCTGCTAGATTTAACTCCATGATGCTCGCTGAGGTTTGCCCCAAACTTCTGTTCCATGACATGAATGATTTTCTCCGGATGGACATACAATGGGGTCTGGTCTACACACAGCATCCACAGTTCCCGCAAAGCTTTGTCTGGGGTCTCTGCTGCCAACACTGTAGAGAAGAGATCCACAAGCATTAACTCTTTCAGTCCTAAGCACAGTGTATGAGTGGCACCATTCCTTGATCTCCCCTAACAGTATAATGTCATCTTTTAAGTTTAACATTTGGTCAGAACAAACTACAGAAATCTGGCTTCTCCAATGTAATTACTGTCATGATCATGGTAGAGGTGGAGATGGGGTGAATGTGGGACTGCCAGCAAAGCATTAAACATGTGACTGTCATGGTATTCACACAAACCACGTGAACCACCTAAAGTAATGGAAGTCAGCTCAGGCTGTGAGGCTGTGAGTTGTCGACCGGGAATCCTAGCAGACCTTCTGGACAACTGCAGTGTGGCCAGGCCACATGAGTAGTGGTTTCAGTAATTGTGTTAGACATTGTTGGCTGACACGTTTAGTTATGCAGAATGATGTAGCAATGGTAGGATAATAAAGTTAACAGTAACAGAGCTGAACTAGGTACATCAAACTTCCTCGTGTGGATGAAAGTTTTTTTTTTTTTAATTTTAATGTTTTTTGGCAAGAGATCCCTGGATCCTAACTGCCATTTAAATTATGTTGGGCAAGAGATCCATGGATCTTAAAAGCCAATGTAGTGTTTTCGGGCAAGAGATCCATGGATCTTAACAGCCAATGTAGTGTTTTCAGGCAAGAGATCCATGGATCTTAAAAGCCAATGTAGTGTTTTCGGGCAAGAGATCCATGGATCTTAAAAGCCAATGTAGTGTTTTCAGGCAAGAGATCCATGGATCTTAACAGCCTATGTAGTGTTTTCAGGCAAGAGATCCATGGATCTTAACAGCCTATGTAGTGTTTTCAGGCAAGAGATCCATGGATCTTAACAGCCTATCTAGTGTTTTCAGGCAAGAGATCCATGGATCTTAACAGCCTATGTAGTGTTTTCAGGCAAGAGATCCATGGATCTTAAAAGCCAATGTAGTGTTTTCAGGCAAGAGATCCATGGATCTTAACAGCCAATGTAGTGTTTTGGGGCAAGAGATCCATGGATCTTAACTCCAATTTTTATGTTTTTAGGGAAGAGATCTGTGATTCTTAAAAACTATTTTAATGTTAGAGAGTCTTAAAACCCTTGATTTTTTTTACAAGTAAAAATACAACTAATTTATTACCACCACCCCCCCTCCCCCCCCCCCTCCCCAATCAACATGTAAAGCCACAGGCTACAGCAACATATCCAGGGACTGACCTGCATGCAAGTCCACCTCTGTGCCAGCCTTGGCAATCTCCACCAGCTTCTCCAGGACTTGAGCTTGCTTCTGTAGGTGATCCAGTGCATAGAATTCTCGACATTTCAAGGGCCCGTAGTTGCCCAGGTTCTGGGAGGAAACAAGAGGCATTCTTATAAAATTCTCAACACTTTTTCCCAGGTTCTGAGAGGAAACAGGAGACATTCTTATAAAATTCTTGACACTTTTTCCCAAGTTCTAAGAGTAAAAAAGAGACATTCTTATAAATTTCGATACTTTCTGCCAGGTTCTGGGAGACAACAAGAAACATTCTGATGAACTCAAAACAATTTGTTCAGCTGTAAATTGAGATGTAGTTTTTTATAAGAAATCTTCGAATTCCTTGGACAGTCAAAAAGACTAAACCCAGATGTTCTGAGAGAGGCTAGGACTTGTGGACAATTTACAACAAACATCAGAAACAGGTCATTATTTTATCATGTTATGAGAAGAAACAAATTGGAACATGTTGTGACCACTGGCAAGATTTGTGGAAAAGAGACAGCGGAAGGCAAAGTGAGATGATTCTTGACAGCCTTCAGTCATGGCATGGAGGAGTGTCAGCAGATGAAGTGATACACGTTGTTGAAAAAATTTGCAGATTGTGGAGAGGCCAGTCGGCTGTGCACTTGGTGATGATGATGAAGAAACGAATTACGAGGACACAAATGACATACTGCACAATTTATTTCTGAGCATATTTCGCCATATCTTATCAGGGGCATTACTACAGGGTTTTCATCAACACATAAAGAAGCACTCTCTTACATTCATCATACATACTAATATTTGTAATATAAAAGAAATGTTTTCATATGATGGGCTGAGTCATTTAGTTATTACAATTTCTGTACTGTCCATATCTCTTACAAGGAGTTAGTTTAGCATCTAGTATGTCCTGTTCAACATAATAAGTTTGGAAAGCTCTGGTGAACGGAGACAAGCAAACTAGCTATAATACTACCACAGTTTGGAGTCACTGTGGAGTAGCGGCTAGACCCTCGTGTGCGCATCAGAAGATCATGGGTTCGCTACCTGGCGGAGCCGGACTTTAAAAAAAACAAAAATGACCTTGACTCATAGATCGACCCAGCCTTGAGTGGGTACCAGGTGCAGTCCTGGGAAGTAAAGGCGGCCAGCGTGATGCTGACCACATCACCTATCTTTACCTGCCGATTAGTCTATCAAAATATAGGCCTAGCCCTAGAAACCTAAAGGCGTGGAAAAGGGACCCTCACTTTACTTTTACTACCACAGAGCTTCTACATCGACACGGAATGACAGCAGCCATTGCTGCCCATCCAGCAGTGGATCGCAAACTGTTCCTCCCCACAACGCTTCATGGCAGAAGTGGAAACTGATGATGATGACTACCACGGTTCTCAACACACAAAACAATGTCCAAAAAGAAAATACAAACCTCTAATAATTTATCACAGTAGGTCAGATGGAAAACAAGAGCTTGGTCCACTTGTTCGTTGCCACTTGATGGCGGCACTGGGCTGGATCCAACACTGGAGCCCAAATGTGTGTCTTCCTGGAGTCTCTTGGCCAGAGACTCAATGCCAGAGTCAGAGGTCTTAGCTGTTGACTCTGGGCTCATAATAAACTTATCTATGTTTGATACCTGTGGCGTCCTGTAACAAAAGCAATAACCCAATTAAAAGAGGTTCATATTTGAAGTATTACTGTGAATATCACAGACAAGTGAGAACATAAATTTATTTTTACAGCAATGTTTCCCAAACTTGTCTTAGTTGCAGCCCCTTTTTTCAATTAAAGTTTTTCCACGGCGCCCTAACCTAAGTAAAAGTAAAAGTCTGACTTTTCGTTTGTAAGAGATTAAAATAAATAAAACTCGCGTATCTTTGAATATTTCGTGGGGCCGCTGTGAAGAGGTCGTGGCTCCCCAGGGTGCCAAGATACACAGTTTGGGAATCACTGATTTACAGTATTACTGTGAAGATCATAAACACGTGATGACAGAAATTTATATTTACAGTATTACTGCAAAGATCCCAAGCAGGTGAGAACAGAAATTTATATTTACCATTTTTACTGCACAGACCTTAGTAAAATTATGTTTTTTTTTCTTTCAGGGAAACATCCTAACCTACAGTCTGTAGTGACTGCACTAACCATCAACCATAAATCCTCAGGCTCAAAGACCCCTCTGCCTACGCCACAAAAGTGGTAAATCATCATCATCAAGTGCCTTTCCGACTGGCGTGGGCAATCATGCCTCTCCACAATCTGAAACTGTGTATAAGTTTATGTGTTGAACTGATCCAACAAATGGCTGTCAAGAAACTTCTTGCACTGTCTTCCTCTGTCTCTCTGTCCACAAATCTTTCCAGTGGTCACAACATGATGGCTAAGGAAATCTAAGGATTCTTCTGTGAAAATACAGGCAGTAATTGTAGATTTTTTGGCAGTTTATAGTGGAGATCATAACGGGGTGAAAACATAGATTTATATTATTACAGTGAAGATCATATCTGGGTGAAAACAAAGGTTTACATGATTACAGGGAAATCGTAACTGGGAGAAAATACATTTCTATTATTACAGTGAAGATTGTAACTGGGTGAAAACAAAGATTGATAGTACTACAGTGAAGACTAGCTGGGTGAAAACAAAGATTTATAGTATTACAGTGAAGATTGTAACTGGGTGAGAAATGAGGCTTACGTTAAGAGTATTTTATGGAAGTTAATAATTTGGTGAAAAACAGTCATTTATGTTCATTACACCAAACATAACAGTGAAAACCAAGTAAAAAACTTATTTCAGTGCTAGCATGGAATCCCCAAACTAACTTACATTTTGCTGCTATCTAGATTCTCCTCCTCTTCATTCTCATCCTCCTCATCGAGATCATCTAGCCCATCTTCTGTGTTCAGAAAGTCAAAAGCCTCTTCTATGGCTCCTTCTATTGACACACTCATGCTGGATGACCTTGAACCTCTAGCTGATTTTTTCTGCAATGAATCATTTAAAATTATCATTAAAAAAGCCTACAGATTAAAGTTGAGATGACTGAGTTCACTGCACCAGGTTTTATCCTATAGGGCTCAGTCTCTTTCCACAGACAGTCTAAGGACCTGTCAAGAACATAGCCCAAAACAGGAACTGCTCAGCTCTGGCGATGATCCCCAGTGGTCTTTGTTAAAAACTGCATTCATGAAACAAACGGCACAGCCCTGGAACAAACCCACGACCTTAGAGCATGAGGCAAATTGCTTGACCATGAAGACCCCTAACAATTATCGTCAGCGTCAGGAGGGTTTCACAGGAGATGCCAAAATAAAGAAATAACCACCATGAGGAAGCACAAATTAATTACTTTTCAGTATATGCACAGTTGGGAGTCCCCGTGGCAGAGCGGCTAGATGATCGCCACTGATCGGAAGGTCGTGGGTTCGCTCCCTGGTGGAGCAGAACTTTTTTCAAAAATGACCTTGGCTCCCAAGTCAACCCAGCCTTGAGTGAGTACCGAGTGCAGTCCCGGGAAGTGGAGGCAGCCGGTGTGATGCTGGCCACATCACCCATCTAGCCCTATATGCCTAAAGGCGAGGAAAAGGGTCTTTTACTTTTTTTTTTATATGCACAGTTGGAGCCGTCATGATGTAGCAGCTAGACCACTTGCCTGCGCATCCAAAGGTTGTATGCAGACTGCTGGTTCCTTGTCTCTCGGGCAGAGGGACTATGATCTTAGATGAGACAATCCTAATTAGTCACCTCTAACCACCTGCTTACTGCCGCCACAGTTTAGCAGCTAGATGTTCGCCTGCGGATCTGGAGGTTCTGGGTTCAGGTCCGGACAGAGCTGGAGTTTTTCCTAAACTGACTTGGGCTCCCAGGCTGACCTAGCCTTAAATAGGCAAAAGGAACAGTCCTGGGAAGTAAAGGTGGCTGGCACGATGGTGACCGCATCACCCACCGAGAGCTGATTGGTCTACAAAATATAGGTCTAGCCCTATATGCCCAATACACCTGAAGGCGTGGAAAAGGGTCCTTTATGGAGGCAGAGTTATGCACAGGCCAAGTAATTAGCTGGTGAGGACGGGTAAATAAACAAACTTACCCGAACAAGCGACTCAATGACCTGCACCATCTCCTCCAGCTTCTGCAGCTCGGGGTAGTGGCCAAGAAAGTCCTCTAGTGTTGTCGTCAGGCTGCCCAAGGCCTCCTCTACGCTGACTGTAGCATCATGTGACACCATCTCCGCCTGAACTACCACACCTGGCACCATAGACTGTGTGACCTCAGGTACGGGCCCAGACAGGGAGGAAGATGTGAACACTGATGAAGATGAGGAGGAAGAACTTGCCACACCTTCAGGCTGTGAAAAAAAATTCAAAAAACTCTGTAAGATCTGATTGTAACTCTTTGAGTCCCAAGGAACGCATCATACGTTTATAGATTCCTACCCAGAGGCCCAGTGAACGCATGATGCACCGATTTTACGTCTCTCTTGACCACCCCTTGGGTCTGTGAACCAAAACCCGCTGGGACTTAAAGAGTTAACATGTTCTACCTGTCTGTGGCTTAGGCGTTGTGAATGCACTTTGTAATGCTGGGGTACAGGATTCGATCACATCTGCGGACAATCTGTTTTGCATTGGTACCAAGAGCTGACAGTTCGGGAAACAGTGGCAAACTACTGAATGTAAAATTTGCCTAGAAAAACCACAACAGCCAAAAAAAAAATGCTGGGATTGGTTCTGCAATGTCCTGTAAACGATAAGTAACTAATCTTTATGATCCCTGCGGAGTATAGGCAGCAACAAAATCCTTCACTAATTTCTGTTTGCCTAAGCCATGACCAAGAGGAAGAAAAACCACTGCCATCATACATGATCTCAGCATTGAGGAGAACTGGCTCATAAACAGCACCCTGTCCTGAAAGCTGAAGTATGCTGGTGGTGGCAAAACCCATGAAGGCCGGGAGAGAATGGTGATGGAGGGTGCAGCTTCCAGAAAATGTGGCCGAGGTGGACCTCGGAAACGGTGGAAACAAGACACAGAAGATGCACTGGCTTTCAGCATATAATGCGGAAGAATTGAGGGACTTTCAGGCGTGCCGTGACAAAAGTGATGTGCCATGCTGACTGGTAATAATGAGGCCAGAACCACATCACCCATAAAGTGCTGGCCCTCATCAAGTGCCGACACTAATTGAGTTCCGACACCCGTCAAGTGTCGACACCCATCAAGTGTCGACACCCATCAAGTGCTGATGTCCATCAAGTGCTGACACTCATCAAGTGCCGAAACCCATTAAGTGCTGACACCCATCAGGTGCTGACACCCATCAAGTGCTGACACTTATCAAGTGCTGACACTTATCAAGTGCTGACACTTATCAAGTGCTGACACCCATCAAGTGCTGACACTCATCAAGTGCTGACACTCATCAAGTGCTGACACTCATCAAGTGCTGACACTCATCAAGTGCTGACACTTATCAAGTGCTGACACTCATCAAGTGCTGACACTCATCAAGTGCTGACACTCATCAAGTGCTGACACTTATCAAGTGCTGACACTCATCAAGTGCTGACACTTATCAAGTGCTGACACTCATCAAGTGCTGACACTTATCAAGTGCTGACACTCATCAAGTGCTGACACTTATCAAGTGCTGACACTCATCAAGTGCTGACACTCATCAAGTGCTGACACTTATCAAGTGCTGACACTCAACCAGTGCTGACACTTATCAAGTGCTGACACTCATCAAGTGCTGACACTTATCAAGTGCTGACACTTATCAAGTGCTGACACTTATCAAGTGCTGACACTCATCAAGTGCTGACACTTATCAAGTGCTGACACTTATCAAGTGCTGACACTCATCAAGTGCTGACACTCATCAAGTGCTGACACTTATCAAGTGCTGACACTTATCAAGTGCTGACACTTATCAAGTGCTGACACTTATCAAGTGCTGACACTCATCAAGTGCTGACACTTATCAAGTGCTGACACTTATCAAGTGCTGACACTCATCAAGTGCTGACACTTATCAAGTGCTGACACTCATCAAGTGCTGACACTCATCAAGTGCTGACACTCATCAAGTGCTGACACTCATCAAGTGCTGACACTTATCAAGTGCTGACACTTATCAAGTGCTGACACTTATCAAGTGCTGACACTTATCAAGTGCTGACACTTATCAAGTGCTGACACTTATCAAGTGCTGACACTCATCAAGTGCTGACACTTATCAAGTGCTAACACTCATCAGGTGCTGACACTTATCAAGTGCTGACACTTATCAAGTGCTGACACTCATCAAGTGCTGACACTCATCAAGTGCTGACACTCATCAAGTGCTGACACTCATCAAGTGCTGACACTTATCAAGTGCTGACACTTATCAAGTGCTGACACTTATCAAGTGCTGACACTTATCAAGTGCTGACACTCATCAAGTGCTGACACTTATCAAGTGCTGACACCCATCAAGTGCCGACGTCCATCAAGTACCGACCCCCATCAAGTGCTGACACCTATCAAGTGCTGACACCCATCAAGTGCCGCGATTGGTCTATCAAAAATAGTCTAGCTTTAAATGCCTGATTTGCCATCAGTGTGAAATGAGCCCTTTGTTTTTCTGGCCATGTTGCCTTACATCCTGTTTGTCTTTACTGCCTGCATTTACCACTAATTCAGGGCTGTATGTCTAACATGGACTGTGCAGTTAAGCATTCTTTTGACCACCAACAAAAACTGACCATAGGTGATTTTTAAAATTGGCCCCACCTAAAATTAGTAATAGGAAATATTTTGGGAAGCAAAAGCAGCCAGTTTGACCAGCTTACTGACAGAATGCAAAGCCAGTTGGTCTCACATTCAAACAGCATCCCCAAAGGGAGAATTTTAGGTTGTAATTGTGACCTCCTCGTGTGGGTTCCAGGGCCCCTTTATAGGGGGAAACAAGAACAGACCTACTGCCTCCCTAACAAGCATGTCGTAAGAGTCGACTCACTGGTGGCTTCCTTTGAAGTCAAAGTGCCTAAGAGACAAGGAGACAAATCAGATCTGTAAAATGAATGTGCATGCAAAACTCAAGTTCTGAAACAAGACTAGTCTAAAGGTGGATGAACAACTAGAACTTTTCCCTGGAGTTTACAGTCAGTAAAACTGAAGATGAATAAGAGGAATTCAAAGACCTTCAGGCTGAAAGGCTAATTTCTCGCCACTATACCACCTTGAGTCCGTCACATAACAAATAATAAATAATTAAAAAACACACTTACCAGTGATATGTGAGTACTATGAGGACGTGAGCTATTGTAAAACTCTGATGCAGAAGAAGTCGCCTGGGATGGCTGTGACCGGATGCTCCTCACATCACAGGCGATGACACTGTGCGGCCGCAGGCGGTTAGAGTGGAGGTCTGGTGTCCAGGATGGGTCTCGATGCCCGTGCATGATGGGAGAGGCCGAGAGGCTGTGAGACTGACGAGAGTCCTGAGTTGTGTGGCTTGGCAGCGACGTGGCTGAGCCGTAGATGCCACTGTCATCCCTCTGTTTTAAACTTTGCATAGGACTAGGGAATTTCCGCTCTGATCCTGACGACAAATCTGAGTTACTGCCAAACTAAACCAAAGAAACAACATGTTAAATGTTAATTGTGAAGAATGGAAACAGAATTTAAATAAAAAATAGTGTTAAATATTGTGAAAAGAGATGTCTAAAATAATAGCAAACATCAATGAGAGAAAAATATGAAGAGCCTTCTTCCTTGTTCTTCATTCTTCTTCAACACCTTCAGCACAGCAAAAAACGAGACGCACACCGGACACGTCAGAAGACTTGTTAATCAACATAGAACTGGTACTATTAGCCATCGGACGTTGGGGTTCATACTGAGGGGAGGATCTAAGCACCTATGGACATGTCCGGAGTGCAATGATGATAACCCAACTAACTAACTAACTAACTAACTAACTAACTAACTAACTAACTAACTAACCTTCAGCATAAGGGATGACAGCAAAAGTGATAACAGGCTCAGTGATGACAGTACGCATGATGATAGCACTAGTGATGACAGCATGAGTAATAAGAGTACAAGTGATGACATCATGAGTAAGTGATGACAGCACATGTAATGACATCACGAGAGAGTGATGACAGTACAAGTGATGACAGCACACATAATGACATCCCAAGTGAGTGATGACAGCACAAGTAATGACCAAGGACAGCACAAATAAAGACAGCCTAAATTAAGACAGCACAAGTGAGGATTACCAAACGATGATGGACAAGTGAGAGCATCTCTGTGTGGAAGAGACTTACCAAGCTGCCATTAGTAGCAATCATTGACATTGGCCTCCGTCTGGAAGCTGATCCCGAAGGACGTGCAGGTGGCTCGAAGTACGTGACAGCTTCATCCATTCCATCCAAGGGGCTGTATGATCACAATGAGAATAAACAAATGTACATGATGTCCTCAGTAGTGGTACCTCAGTATACGTCCTTAACCCCTTCCAGATCCCAGGGCTTATACTAACAGGACGTTTCTTTTTTTTTTTAAAGTAAAGATCCCTTTTCATGCCTTTTGATGTGTCGGGCATATGGGAAGAGCTCCCACATTTTTACAGACCATTGGCACTAGGTAGGTAATGTGGTCAGCATTACGCTGGCCGTCTTTACTTTCCCAGGACACCCATCCTGGTACGCATTTTAGGCTGGGTCAACCTGCGACGCCCGATACCTTAAAAAAAAATCCACGCAGCCAGCAGTGGCTTTTGATCGCAGTACGTTGGAATTACGAGTCAGACTCGCAACGCCTAAGCCACGGACGCCACATGAAAATAAAAGGGGAATGATTAATCTGCTCTCCTGAACAAAAATATATTATTGTTACAGGCACATTAAACATTTCATCAATCTTTTTTCTCCCCTTCACCTCCACAGTGATCCCACCATTTTTACGGTTGCTTGGTTCTTTTCATGAACTTTCTTAGAACTCACGGTTAATGATTTTACCAACAATTTATGTGGAAAAATATTCCCGTAAAAATTCAGTTACAGCATGAGTTGTTCACTGAATGACAACTGGTCAACTGATGCTTGCAGGCAGTTGGGGTTTGTCTTGAGAAAGGCAAACAAAGGTAGAGTGTGGTGTCATGACTCACGTTATCAGTCAGATGCAACAGATTTGATGCTTGCATGCCTGAGGCCTGCACATTCAGCCAAATTCTACATCCAGGTCTTTCTTGGTCTTTCTCTCCACCTCTTGCCCTCTACCACGCCCTGGGGTGACAAGCACAAACCAGTAGCCTGCTGATGTCCCATGATCACACAAGCCACCCTCTCATGGTGCTGACTTGTGACTGTATCCATGAGGATACTGGCTTTGCCAGTGTTGGAATACTGCATGAGATGCATCATGCAAACAGATAGGTATAAATCAAACTGGCTGCTCCCAACGAAAAGAAACAACCTCCACCCCTTACCAAGGATCAAAGCTGGGTTTCCCACATGAGAATCCAAGGAAATAAACAACTAGAATTCATAGAGCTCCACAGCAAACAACAGCAGTAGCTAATGAATGTGGACATCTCTCGTACATGCAAGATCATCATCTTCTTCTTCACCAGCTGTAAACTCCTGGGGAAAGTTCTGGATATTCATTCACTTCTGGACTTTTTTCTTGTTCCAGAACTTGAGTTTTGTGTGCACATCTATTTTACAGATCTGGTTTATCTGTATGCAGACTCTTGGTTAGTCGCATGCAGACTCTTGGTTCTTCGTCTCTTGGGCAGATGCACTTCGACTTTGAAAGAAAAAAAAACCTAATTAGTTTACTAATATGACATGTTTGGTAAACAGGCAGTGGGTCTATCCCCCCACCCCTCCCCCAACCCAACAAAGGGGTCCCATAATCCACTCAGGGGCTTTAAGAAGCCGGCCTTACTTCCAGGTGATGATGATGCTGAGTTTGAGGGAGCCATGGACGTTGATGCTGACTGTCATCAGCTGCGGGAATGCAGAAAACAGACCCTGGCTGCTGGTGTCGTGGGTGGAAGGCTGGCAGACCTCACAGTTCTTCTGACCGAGCTGGACTGACTTGAAGGCTCGGACCTCCGATGCCTGAAACAAACAATTTAATTAACGTTAAGCTAACATCCCTCTTTTAAGGAAAAAGCCTAACTTCATTACCTAACAGAAAAGCCAACAAACATTATTTGACAACAGTCGACCAACATTATTTAACAAAACAGTCGATCAACATTATTTAACAACAGTCGACCAACAATATTTAACAGAACAGTCGATCAACATTTTTTTACAGAACAGTCAACCAACATTATTTAACAGAACAGTCGACCAACATTATTTAACAGAACAGTAAACCAACATTATTTAACGGAACAGTCGACCAACATTATTTAACAGAACAGTCGACCAACATTATTTAACAGAAAGTCAACCAACATTATTTAACAGAACAGTCGACCAACATTATTTAACAGAACAATCAACCAACATTATTTAACGGAAGTCAACCAACATTATTTAACAAAACAGTCGACCAACATTATTTAACAGAACAGTAGACCAACATTATTTAACAGAACAGTCGACCAACATTATTTAACAGAACAGTCGACCAACATTATTTAACAGACCAGTCAACCAACATTATTTAACAGCATGGGATGCACAGGTGCTGAACCATATATTGTGGTACGTGTGGAAAAGGATTTATACTGTTAAAGACTATTCTACAACTCTTTGTGGTCATTTTAGAAGAAACCCCAGGAGCTAGGCCCTGTTTCCCTCAAACCTGAAATGCATCTGCCTGAGAAAGAGAATCCCCCCCCCCCCCCCCCCCCACACGAACTACAAGTAAGGGAAATCTTAACTGGCTGCTTGGAAAAAGGGATTGAGTACATGTGGGAGAGTCTTGGATGCAGTTATTTCAATCTGTGATCATTCATTCATAAAGGACCCATGTTACTTCAATCAGTGATCATTCATTCATTAAAGAGCTTTTTTATTTCAATCTGTGATCATTCATTCATAAATTTAACCTTTTCATGCACACAGTGCATTGAGCATATGACATAAGACTCATATTTTTACAGACCAGTCGGCCCTCGATGAGTGACGTGGTCCACACCGCGTCAACCACCTTTACTCCCCAGGACTTTGCCTCCTACCCATTTTAGGCTGAGCTGACCTCAGAACCAAAGTCATTTTAAAAAAAAATCAGACTAGATGCAGATTCAAACTTTTTGGCTGGTAGGTGGAGCATCTAGCCACCACACCACCATGGCTCCCATCAACTGGTAATTCAACCCACTAACAAGTGACCACTAGAAAAACCATACCTTAATATTAAGTGTCTCTCCAACCAAACATTTGAAGGTGTACTCGGGTGAGTCCCAGCGCTGTGTGTTATTTTTCTCAATCCTTCCCTTGGTCTTCCACTTCTGACCTCCGTGTTTGATGACCACTTCAAACACGTCGCCAGGAACCAGCCGGGCAAAGCCAGCCATTCCTGTGGGAACACAAATAAAGATGATAGCCCTACATTCATTCAACCATAATTGGTCTTGCCCCTCTACCCTGGGCAACGAAGGTATTATATAACAGTTTTTAACTGTGACACTGCACAAACAGATCATCACATTCTAAAGGGAATGGTGCAATGAGGAGGGACCAGGTGATCTGGCTGATATTCAAGGCTCAAGGTAAAGGTGAGATAGACATGCAATCAATGCAAGCCTGACAAAAGCCAGATAAAAGCCAGATTTTTATGTGGAAACTCTACCCTGGGCAACAGAGGTTTTATATAAAAAGAGTAGTTTTAACTGTGACACTGCACAAACAGATCATCACAGTCTGGCCAATGCTCAAGAAAAAGCAAGTTGGACATGCAGTCAATACAAGCCTGGCAAAAGCTAGCTATTCCTGTGGAAACACAAAGATGATACCATACATTCATTCAACCATAACCGAACTTTCCTCCTCTACCCTGGGCAACAGAGGTATTATATGAGTAGTTTTAACTGTGACACTGCACAAACAGATCATCACAGTCTGGCCAATGCTCAAGAAAAAGCAAGATGGACATGCAATCAATACAAGCCTGGCAAAAGCTAGCTATTCCTGTGGAAACACAAAGATGATACCATACATTCATTCAACCATAACCGAACTTTCCTCCTCTACCCTGGGCAACAGAGGTATTATATGAGTAGTTTTAACTGTGACACTGCACAAACAGATCATCACAGTCTGGCCAATGCTCAAGGTAAGGGCTAGATGGACATACAATCAATGTATTGTATCCACTTTGGGGAGGTTGGCCTCTGCTTCATTTTCCAGAAAGTGCACCCTCCATCACAATTTTTTCCAGGCCACTATCATTTTAACATGGCTAAAATACCTCAACTTTTGGGACAGGATGCTGTTTATGAGAGAGTTCTCTTCAATGTTCAGATCATGCAGGCTGTCTTCTTGGTCCATGGTATTCTAAGAATTTGTCTGTTAATATTTCAATTCAAAAGCTGGGGTTTTTCTTCAATGATTGAGTAAGAGTCTGTGACTCACATCCATAAGTTGCCATTGGAAAGTGTTTAACTCATTTGCAGGTGCTATGCCATAGGTTCCTCATGCTGTTTAGTCTCCGCATTGCTAAAGCAAGTCTTTTGATTTCTTTTGTGCAGTTGCCATTGTAGTTCACTAGCGAGCCCAGAATCCAGTGACCAGTTTATACCCATATTCATTTTGTCCCCATTCTTTCTGTAACCCCTGCTATCTATCCCCCCAGTGGTACTCTAATACTGCAGACAAAATCATTCATTTGTTAAAATAAAAGTGTTAGAACATAACAAGTTAAACTCACGCCTACTTGGTTCTGAATGTGTTTCCTCTGCAATGTTAACGCTAGTCTAATACCTTGAGTATGATACAAACACATGGCAACACATCTGGCTTTTAACCATAAGCTTAGGCACGCTCATCTTGATGTCTAACTGTAAGTGTGTATGTGGATAACTTACATCCACCTGATAGGGCTAGGCAGTAATCATCATTATCATGTGCGTTATCAATAAGCATGGCTGGTCATTGTTCACCATCACATCTGGTCACAAGAATTACTATTAGATCACTGTTCTTGACATACATAATCCCCCCCCCCTCACCCCTTTCCCCCCCCCCCCCCCCAAAAAAAGGATTTCGACACTAAGCAATACAAACAAATATAGCTGACTCTACATAAGAAAATGAGAGCCTAAAATAATATACTAAATGTGCCTTATGATCTGTCAATGGGCTCTCAAACTCTTGCAAGCAAACAAAAAAGCTATGCCTACCTTTCAATCTACAGCTGAAAGTGCCCAGCATATTTTCTAGTTGAGCTTCAATAGCACACATTGTCTGTAATAAAGTGGAATTGAAATTATCATGTCTAAAGTAGAAATCAAACTGCTGCGTCGAAATACATTAGAATTTAAAACAATGCTTTTAAAATATGTCAATTCATATTTTTTTTTTTCAAGTGAATTTCAGATAGTCACGTCTGAAAATGGAATTCAAAATCTGATGTCTGAGGGAAAGCAAATTTCATAATACATGTGTGAAACGAAAAATTAAAAAAAGTGTTAATCTGAAAAAAATATATATATATAATTTGAAATTTCATTCTGAAAAATCTGGAAGAAAGTGGAAAGCAGATTGCGATGCTTAACAGAATGTAGATTTAAACAATCTTCTTCTTCTTTCTTCGCGTTCACCAGCTGTAAACTCTGGCGGCAGGTTCTGGTTGCTCGTCCACTACTGAACTGCAGTCCTGCTAGAGAACCTGAGTGTTGCGTGTGCATCAGTTTTACAGATCTCATTCTATTGAATGCAGACTGTTGGTTCCTTGCCTCTCCGGCAGATGCACTCCGACTTCAAAGGAAGCTCCCCAATTAGTTGACTCTTACGACATGCTTTTGGGGAGGCAGTGGGTCTATTCTTGTTTTCCCCACAATGGGGCCCCGGAACCCACACGGGGGATTTAAACAATCATAGCTGGAAGAGTAAACAGTTTTAATTATGTTGCAAAGTGGAATTGAATTGCTAAATGTGAAATGAAATGAGTTAAAAACACTGGTAAACTATACGGTAAGAGTTTGTCAATATCTGACCCACTTAGAAGCTTGTGAGATTTTGAAAGGCTGACAAGGCCACTCAGCCTACAATCTCTATTTGCCTGTGTAACTGACCAGACATTGATTAACCCAGGCCATGAATGCCAGGTGACTTTAGACTTACCTGTGAGCATTCCTTGTAACAGGCCACTCAGTCCATTTCTCTACAATCTCTATTTGCCTGTGTAACTGACCAGACATTGATTAACCCAGGCCACAATTGCCAGGTGACCGCAAACTTACCTGTGAGCATTCCTTGTACCCGTACTTGACATTAGCAAGGGAATCTTTGCGACTCTGGGAGCTGGTGGCACTGTAGGCTCTAGCCATGTTTCTGGCACCTGGTGTAGCAGAGTGAAGGTATCAATGAATTAAATAATGAATGGATGAAAGAACAAACAAATGAATGAATCAAGAACTGACTATACTGCACATAGGACACTTCCCATAAATGCTTCAACCCTTTTCTCTTTTATCTCTTCGGGTGTCGAGGAAGATATAGAGTTCTGCTGCTTCATTATCTGACCGCCTTGACCACAGATATATGGTGTGTTGTAGAGTTTCTCTGATGTTATATCTTGTACACATTGAACTTAACCTCAGCCTATTCAATGGTCTTGCAGTCTACTCCCCTCATTGTTAAACAGGTACTGATCGTCTGCAAATAGTAGCTCGCTTATTTTGTATGATCTGGTTCTTCCACTTGAAAGCAAAGTTCCTCATGTTCTGGATTTTTCTCGGTTGACTGCTACATTTGGTATTCAACAAAAATGAGTCTCTGAAGCTAATGTGACTATGTGACGTGGGGATAAAGTCTGGCAAAGCATATCTATACCACCTTTGAAAACAAGAAGGGAGATATTAAAACCAATTTTGCATGTCAACAGAGGGATGGCTAAGCACACAAGAAAGTATACAATGTTCAGTGACATAAACTGTGACAACAACAAAAATTGAATATAATCAGGGCATAAACAAGCTGCAAGGACACTAACAACACAAGAAAAGACAGGGTTAGGAGTATAAGCAATAGAGAGAAAATTGGAATAAGATTTCATGTCTGGATTATACTGACAGACAAAGAATGAAATGGTTCAGCTATCTAATGAGAATGTAGCCAGATCAAACTGCATGTGAGACTTTTTACAGGAGAACATCTGGGATGAAGGCGAGAGGAAGACCAAGAAAATGATAGATAAATGGTCTAGCTGAAACCTGCAAAAGGATAAACAAACCCGGCACCCAAGCCACAGGAGAAGCGCAAGACAAATACAGAAAAACCACGACAAGGAGCTACAACCTGGTATCAGTGAGATGACAAAACCTTGATACTGGGCTACAACCTGGTATCAGTAAGACAACAAAAGAAAAAGAAGACAGACTAGTCAGGGGAACCTACCTTCTCTCAGCTGTTGGTTCAACAGGTAGCAGTCATGGAGCTCATCAATCTGTCAAGTATAGAAGTGGCAAAGTTTAATAATATGATCAAGATATACAGAAGATATCAGTCATACTATCAAACAAACAATCAGTGCAAATCCCCACAATCCGGCCAGCTGGTATGGAGCGGAAACATGGAGAACAGCTGGTGCAATTACTAATAAACTACAAATATGCATTAACTGGTGCCCGCACAGAATACAGGGAATTGGATGGTATGATAGAATCACTAATGTAAAGCTTTGGAGGAGAAATAAACAAGTTCCAGTGGAACAAGAGGTGTAGAAAAGACGATAGGGTTGGACCTGACACATTCTGAGAAAACCTCAGAACAATATAACTAGAATGTTTTTGCACTGGAACCCACAGGGCCACCGAAATAACGGAATACAAAAAAACACATGGAGAAAGAAGCTAGAGAGTGAAATTAAAAAGATGGGGAGGACATGGGGAGAGCTCCAGGCGACAGCGAAGGATAGAATGACTTGGCGTGGGTTGGTTGAGGGCCTATGCTCCAATAGTGGTTAGAAAGGCAGAAGATGAAGAAGAAGAAGAAGAAGAAGAAGGAGGAGGAGGAGTAGAAGAAAAAGAAGGTTGACTGTAACATGTCCCCAAGACCTGTCAGTAACCTTGGTAGCACAACCTCTAATCATTGTCCGGAGAGAATGGCACAGCAGGGAGTGACAAGGAGCTCTGGCTGTAACTCAGCAACTCAGGAAAAAGTCGAGAGGTACATACAATGAGAAGTGCTGATAGTACCTTCAGAACCCAAACTCTACACTGACTGCTGAAGATGGGGGCAGGTTGCTTATGTGAATGTCCAGCATGCTGCGATGTTCGACAGTTAACGCAAATATAACTAAGAGTTCTGTTTGTCCATGTTGATGTTAACCTCCCATTTGTATCAGTGTCTACCTGACTTCAACTGTTCCACATATGTGGCTACACGTATGTGGGCATATAATTATATAATTAGGTAAGACACACACCTATATGCAAAAACTGTCTCTAGTGACTTCCCTCTTAGCATAAGGGGAAAGGGGATCTGGAGCCTGCTGACCATGAAATACCTCAAACTTGTAGAGGAAACATGACCTTCTTTTGTCTCGCGTCCTTTATCCCGCTAGTGGAGCATGGGCTCTAAACCAAATCATGCCAAGTTGTCTTATTCTTCGCTATCACATACAGCTCACATCATGTACCAGTTCTTTTAACCTCACTTTGCAGTTCTTCTTCTCTGTTATGTGGTCTGCCTTTAGATCTATGCCCCCTGTTGGTTCCAGTGTAAAGGTATTCATATAATGACTATGATGATGATGACGAATACAATGATGATGAAGATGACGATGATGACGATAATGATGATGTGTATATGTGTATGGTATTACAAAGTTATGGATTCACACACTCTCTACTGAAACTGTGGACTCACTTTTGCCAGATGAAACTCCAACCTCTTCAAGTACCTCTCTGCTGCTTTGATTTGCTGGAGAAAGAAAAAAATACAAGCCTTAACAAGCATGTTTGAATCATGGGCTAAGCAACTAAAGACAATACAGACACAGGGTCTTCCTAGAAGTCCTAATACCATTATGCATTATGTTCAAATGAGCAGATATGAACAGGTAAATATTTCTATTATTAACAAAACAAGACGTTTCAATATTTTACGTATTCACATTTACTGGGGGGGGGGGGGGTGTAGAGATTTAAAAAAAAATACCCCCCCCCCCCCCAAAGTCCTTAAAACAAATACTGGTCAGTTCCACAATAATCTCCCCACCGACCGCAAATATACACACTGACTCACTTCTAACTGGTCGACCTTCAGTCACCTGACCTCCGCACTCTGCTACAGGGGTGTTCGGCAATGCTGTTGATATCGTGTGTTGTATATTTAAGCACGCCAGCGCTTTTAACACTATAAAAACATTTTGAAACTGGGTCTAACACACAACCCCACGAGAGTGCTGCAACCTATGTCACAGGCATTCTCTTTCTCGGAAGAAAAATGTAAATGCAAATCAAGCCAGAAAGGAAACAACATAGTAGCAACCCGTAACCCCCCAGACAGTAGACGAGTCTAAAAAATTTATGAATGGAACGTGACCTAGTTTGTTTGGGGAGATTACTGTGGAACTCACCTAAATACCATTTTATACGTGTCGCTAATGCACGTTTGTTCGTTTTTTAAAACATTTATCTACAAACATTAAAAAGTTTATTAGAAATATAAAAAGGGGGAGTAATCAATAGGAGAATAGTGGAATACACTCCTTTTGACCTAAAATATGTTCTGGCTGACTCACACCATGACATGTCACATCACTATGCCACTGTCACATCACTATGCCACGGTCACATCACTATGCTATTGTCACATCACTACGCCACGGTCACATCACTATGCCACCACTATCGAGTCGGTGGATTGTTCATCTATATTATAACGAGTCTCAGCAAAAACACTATGTATTGTTTGTGATTGAAAAGTACAAGGATTTTCTGTCAAATGGTGACATTGAGCAACCAACATACACACATTTATAATTAAAATATCTCAGGTTCTGTTGATCAGATTTTAAAATTGTAAACTGCATTTTAAAATAGACACGTTCATCTACATGGTTCCGGCTTTCAATGATAAAAAATATTGATTTTTTCAAAGACTGCTCCCTTTGAAAAAAATGATTTTAAAAGCAATAAACCCCACCCCCCCCCCCCCACTAAAGTGAAAATAAATCATATTCATACCTCCTGTACACTAAAGTTAATGTTACGATTTCATTGCACTTTTTTTAAATCCCATACAACTCGGTCCCTCTCCACATCTACCTGTTAAGGGTGTCACACAAAGCACAAACTCTGCAGTACCGATGACAATCCCCAAGGGTCTCCGTAAAACTGCACTTGTGAAATGAATGGTGCAGCCATGAAATGAACCCAAAACCTACAGAGTGCAAGGTAAACGGCTTGACCACTTCACCATTGAGATCATAAACAGCATCTCAGGGCAAAAATATTAAACTTTCCCCTTTCATAAATGTTGTTTTAAAAATTCCATGAAGAATGATACACTATGTCATAGTTTCCATGTTTTAATATGCTTTTTAAAAATAACTCTCAAGCGGATTAACATGCACACATTACTCAAGATTTAAACCTGCACTATCAAAGATAAATGCCTCAATCATAAAATTAAATCTATAAACATTTATTATACCAGATACTGTATTTTCAAGAATTAATGCACAAAGCAAAATTCCTTTTTTTTACAAACACATAAACTACAGATAAGATTACACTATGCATGTAACTAAAGCTACAAGTCACATATGCAATAGATCCACAGCAAGTCAAACAAAATAGGCATGCAAAATGATGGTCAAAGCATGCCACACAATTTAGGACATGCAAGTGATGATAGGCAATTCAGTGCCTGCAATTGGAGACAGGCAAGTGAAGACAGGCAATTCAGGACATGCAAGTGAAGACAGGCAATTTAGGACCTGCAATTCAAAAACTTGCTGATGTAACATCCATTGAATCAAAACACACAAATTCTATTACTAGGATATTAATTTCTTTACCAATCTTCGTTTATTCTCCTAATAGTTTACAACCACGCCCTCCCCCCCCCCCCTCCCCCACAACCCCACTATTTTGCTGGCTTGAGATCTAATTGTGTGTATATACTGTGAGAGAATCGCTAATGTAGAGCTCTGGGAGAAAGTTGTCCTTCCCACGTGGGTTCCAGGGTCCCATTGTGGGGGAAAACAAGAATAGACTGACTGCCTCCCCAAACATGTCATAAGAGTTGACTAAATAGGGACTTTCTTCAAAGTCAGAGTGCATCTGCCTGAGAGGCAAGGAACCTACAGTCTGCATACAAATAAGTCAGATCTGTAAAATGGATGTGCAGGCAACACTCAGGTTCTGGAACAAGTCTGAAGTCCAGAGGTGGATGAACAATCAGAACTTTCTACCAGAGTTTACAGCCGGTGAAGGCGAAGAAGAAGGGAGAGAGCTGGAAGAGTTCCAATGGACCCAGAGGTGAAGAAAAGATGCTGGCTTTGAAGAGGACATATGGTGAGAAGGCCTGAGAACGTTATAGCTAGAGTGCCTTTGCACTGGAATCCACAGGGAGATAGAAATAAAGGAACACCCAACAAACAAACCAAAACATGTCGAAGGGAGCTAGAGAATTAAATTAAATAGATGAGAACATGGGGAAGTGATAGCAAAGGACTGAACGACTTGGCGTGAGCTGGTGAGGACCTATACTTTATTGGAAATTAGAAGGCAGAAGAAGAAGAAGATCTAATTGTGTAGAATTTAATGTGTTAAAATTTGTGCAAAGCAACATGAAATATTTGTTGTTTCATTTTTTAATCACACTTCTAAAGGTGGGGACTTATTGCATCAGAAGCCCCTTATTTTTATAAAATGCAACAGATACAATAAACAAAAGCACAGCCATTATGTTAGTGATGTTAATATGACAGAAATACAAACATCTATGCATAATTTATAGTCTGTATTATTTATTCTGGACTGGTATCTCAAACAAGCCTAATTGTTACACATTACAAAATGGTCACTGACAACACCAACAAAAGAAGAAAAGAAAAGACAGCTAGAAACCATGAAAATTTTATGTCTGAGAATGGCTGCAGAAGTGACCAGAAGACACAAAATTCAGGAATAACGTCACAAGAAAACAGTCGACACAGAACCAATTCAAAACTGCTTACTAAGACAGCAAAACAAACGGTTTTCCCACTTTGAGAGAATGTCTTGTGACGCTACACCATACAAGGCATATATGCTCCTTAATCAGCATGTCAAAATAGTGTTTAATTAAGAGTTTGCTGCTGTTGGGTCCAAATATGGAGATATCAAAGCCCTACAGCACAATAAAGAAGAAGAAGATCTGGTACCATAAATCCATCTCCAAGGAGACAATACATGTTTTTTCAAAGTCTAACAGTCAGAGCTTTCCAACTGACACAAAAAAATGAAAACAAGTGGTGAGAAAACAACTAGACAACATCAAGCATGCCTTGCTTAATGCAACAGAAAGCACAATGCACACATCAAAAGTCACCTTATCTGTTTCATGTAACCTTCCCTGGGAGGCCAAACAAAGTAGATATATTATTTCTTTGCACTCATCTATACTGGTATTATAGGTTTAGTATATCATTTTATAAGTAAAGGTGGCCGCCATGATGTCAACCACATCACCACCCATTTGTCTATAAAAGTAAGAAGCTAGCATCATATGTCCTTCTGTTTTTCAACATTCGTGTCAATATGGGATGCATTTTTTGTTATTTCAAAGCCCTACCCTGGCTATAGTCGGGGGCCCTAATTTAATCTAACAGCTAAACCGGGTTTCTGGAACTTGCGCCTTGGGTATTCTCATCCGAATGGTGGCACTTTGTGTCACCAGGTGTTAACTGCTCATTCTGCTGTCCTGGTGGGGTTTGTCCAATGCGTCACTGGCCTAATAAGGGTCCTTTACTTATTTTGTTTCGCAGCATTCAAACCTAAGCCAGGGGAGAATCAATGAAGACATGGAAGTTAGTTGGATGTCTTCTTTGAAGCACTGCAAACCAGTCTTGGCATTTACTGGCTTGTGTGGTTTTACTAAGTGGTTTTATGTTCCGTAGTTTGCCTTTAAAAATGCTCACATTGTTGTCAAAATCAATACAAAGTTTCCGGTGTGGGCTCCGGCACCCATATGGAGTGTAGAGGGAAGAACAGACGAAGTGCCTCATAACAAGTATGTCGTAAAAGTCAATAAATTAGGGGTGTTTCCTTAGAAGTCAGCATGCATCTGCCTGAGTGGCGAAGAACCAACAGTCTGCATAAAAATCAGTCAGATCTGTAAAATGGAGGTACATGCAAAATTCAAGTTTTGTGTCAAGTTCTGCAAATTGATCAAAGTCCGGAAGTGGACAAACAGCCAGAACTTTCTGCAGCAGTTTACATTAGTAAATGCAAACAGGAATCTACTTATTTAACCCATGCAAATTCAGAACAAACTGCTTTTACCTTTGCATGTTGCCCAAATTGACCATACATTTAGGATGGTAAAGAAAGGGGGGAGTTTGAGTGTGGGGATTTGGGACAGCATGGCTATGATTCATGAATACTGCACCAACACAAATAGTTCAGATGATGCAGGCAACTGTGGTATCTATAAGCAGGAGGTAAGCAACTCCCACCACCAAAGCTTGACAAGACCCTCACACTGGCTTGGCCTGTCTGCTGTGTAATGTAATGTGAGTACTGCACACAATAAGTTCGGTTATGGAAAGATATGTCTGTTACATAACATAAATCTGAGATGCTCAAACATGGAGACAAATCTGGAAGTGAAAGCAGAGGAGGAAATGTTTAAGGAGGAAATGGGGAGGAGGGAGAACGACGGTAATAAAGAGGAGAGGGAGAGACCGATGAAACGAAGCGGAAGGAGGAATGATCGCTACAGTTTTGGGGATGAGAAAGAGCAGAGCTTTAAGGAATTTACACAAAAGTGTGGAGAAGGAACAGGAAGAGATTAATGGAAAAAAAACACAAGTGAGGACGGAGGTAACAAAATAAGAAACATGAAGAAATGAGAAGGAGAAAGAGAAGGAAGACGTCGGGAATGAATAAGAAAAGGAAAAAGTGAGGAATGAGAAAGAGAAGTGCTTTTGAAATTCACTGGGAAAAAAGATGGATAAACACAAGAAATGAAAACATACCAGTAAGAAAAAGATATAAATTACTGATAACATCAACAAGCTTAATAAAGCTTATATTTAACATTCAGTAGATACTCCAAGTTACACAGATTTAAGAACAGATTAGGAATCTTCAACTCTAAGGTTATTTCAATTCTATAAAATGCTGGTAAAAATTGGAGAACTACCAAAGATATGGAACAAAAGTTGAATGCATTGAAAACAAATGTCTAAGAAAAATAATGAACATAAAATAGGATGAATTCAAAAACAGTGAGGAGATCAGATAAATGTCTAGACAAATACCTGTATTGACTGCAATAAGACATAGAAGATGGAGATATATTAGTCACACTCTGAGACAAAATGAGCAAAGGTTTACAAAACAAGCGCTACAATGGGAAACAAATGTCTAAGACAACAAAAAAAAGTACATCCAAAGGAAACACTAAGAAGAAGATTATTACAAGAGGTTGAACACCTTGGGCTGAGCGCCATGTCAGAAATCGAGAAAGTTGCATGCAACAGAGCGGAGTGGAGAAATCAAATGGGAGCCGTATATGACCTCTAACAACACACAAAATGATGATGATGATGATTATATAAGCATACAGCACAGTTTCATAAGAAAAGCAGACAGAATAAAGATAACTGTGAGCCAAAACACATAAATGGGATTCATGTAGTGAAGAGGTTACAGTGCTGAACAGATAGAGGTGACACCACAGTACAGTATAACCTACTTCTAAAAATAAAGTGGGAGAGACATTAGAAGTGGTTTATGGAAGTGAAAAAATAAAGTTGTGGTTCAGTATATAGAATGAGATGAAGCACTAATGGAGATACCTGTGTGCAATGAAAGCTATCAACCGCCACCAATTTCAACAAAACACAAAGATTATAAACAAGAAATGAGATGAGTAAAGCAGCAGGTACCTGAGCGGTGGATGTGGCGCTCTCACTTGCCATCAGCTGTGCAATATCCTCATGGGTGGCTTGGATAAACTCCCTGGAACAAACCAAAAAAACAACAGAAATGAATATTCAAATCACAACAGCATTGCTCTTTATTATAGTGTGTTGCAATTGGAGTGGGTCGTAGATCAACAATGTTATGAAACAAAATAAGTCAAGCAAGTGTTAAATCTATTCTTTATTTTTTCCCTTTCAGTAGGATTTAATCCACTGACAGCTTGCTGGGCCTGTTGCAATTTAAGAGAGTATCTCGCCCCGCATGCTAGCTGAGTTGGTTAAATAAGCTGGGAAGCGACCGGGTGACAAACTCCTTGTGATCCGAGTTCACGCTCAGGGGTAGGCAGAAAAGCCATACATTTCCCAAATTTAAGGTATCTATCAAGGCCAAAGGGTTGCGATATCCATAGTACTGAGCCAAATGGTTTTCCAATTCACAGTCTGTTGATTTAAGTTAAAAAAAAAAAAACCAGGAGATAGATATATGCAATATCCGAGACTGTAAACACCAGCACCTGGGTTATACCTGGAGAATGAAGGGCGGCAGAGTCCCCAAGGACATCCTCTAAGGTGAATCTATTCTATGGATGGACAATGTCAAGACCGACCTATACGATGATATAAAGATGTGGGCAAGCGGGACATGAATGATAAAAGGTATTGAGGTGGACTCGTGGGAACAAAATGCCACTGACTGTGGTGTGCACAGGGGGCACACCAATGATGGAATAACAATGACGGAAGAATGAGATCTGAGCGTAAAAAACAACACAGTAAACACAAATGTTGACAACAACGGCCCTAAAAATGCCATGCTATAATTTTCGAAGACTTTCCTTAACGCCGGCGTGTCTTGCTAGTCACACTCGCCACCGCCATGGGCTTTGAGTCTCATCGCTCCTCATAGCGCAATATTTACACATCGTCTGGAAAGGGAGATGGGGGGGGGGGGGAGGTGCCAATCAATCAAATACCAGCACCTACGTAGCACATAAAAAGGCTAACACTAGAAGCCTCTTCAAAAACTGACGCTGAAAAGCAGAACGTAAGTAGAGTAGACATTTGTTTAATGTGGGGAGCGCGAATAACACAGATAGATATAGAAAAAAAAAACAGAAGAAGAAGCAGGAGGAGGAGGAGGAGGAGGAGAAGGAGCGGAAGAAGAAGAAGAAGGAGGAGAAGGAGCAGAAGAAGAAGAAGGAGAAGACCAAGAAGAAGAAGAAGAAGAAGAAGAAGAAGAAGAAGAAGAAGAAGAAGAAGAAGAAGAAGAAGAAGAAGAAGAAAAAGAAGAAGAAGAAGAAGAAGAAGAAGAAGAAGAAGAAGAAGAAGAAGAAGAAGAAGAAGAAGAAGAAGAAGAAGAAGAAGAAGAAGAAGCAGCAGCAGCAAGCAGCAGCAGCAGCAGCAGCAGCAGAAGAAGAAGAAGAAGAAGAGGAGGAAGAGGAAGAAGAAGAAGAAGAAGAAGAAGAAGAAGAAGAAGAAGAAGAAGAAGAAGAAGAAGAAGAAGAAGAAGAAGAAGAAGAAGAAGAAGAAGAAGAAGAAGAAGAAGAAGCAGCAGCAGCAAGCAGCAGCAGCAGCAGCAGCAAGAAGAAGAAGAAGAAGAAGAAGAAGAAGAAGAAGAAGAAGAAGAAGAAGAAGAAGAAGCAGCAGCAGCAGCAGCAGCAGCAGCAGCAGAAGAAGAAGAAGAAGAAGAGGAGGAAGAGGAAGAAGAAGAAGAAGAAGAAGAAGAAGAAGAAGAAGAAGAAGAAGAAGAAGAAGAAGAAGAAGAAGAAGAAGAAGAAGAAGAAGAAGAAGAAGAAGAAGGAAGAGAAAAACAAGAAGCACCAACTCATGACTGACAATCACCGCTCTGTTCATACACTTCAGATCCATTATGCAGTCAAGGAGTGTACGTGTTGTGTCTCTATCCATGGGTGCAGATTGCCAACACAGATAAAGCCACATTAAAATGCCACGAATGTGTTTACGATACACATGAGCGCCAGTGTCCCTTGGATGCATCACTTCTGACCCAAGGTGGCTGGCTCCCTTGTGTCCTCTGTCCCAATCGTAAGTCAACTTCAAAGGTGAACCTGACAAAGACATCGGGGGGCACGGCTGGGTTGGGACCCTGACAATACGCACACTGGTACAGCTGATAGTCATCTGGTTGTTCACCTGTCACTCAGCTTGAACATCGGAATGTCCTCTTATGGCGACGTTGAATATTCATGCTGACTTACGTTAGGATGCCAAACGTTGCACGTCAAACGTGTGCATGTGATCGCACGGCAACAAACCACTGATAGCTTCGCTGCAGTTCACTCATGTCCCCTCTCGTGTGTTTCGCTACTGATGCATCTGTACTTTATGGAAGGACCGTTTAATCGGCGACTTAGTGCATTCTTGTGTGTAATTATACCACGGTCCCGTTTGTGTCCTAAGCTGACCAAGAGAATCTACAACACAAACATCCATACCAACAACACAAACATCGCCACCAACAACGCAAACATCTATACCAACAACACAAACATCTATGCCAACAACAAAAACATCCGTATCAACAACACAAACATCCATTGTGTTGACGGTTATCAATAAATCGTTTTGCCTGGGGCATCGCTTCGCCCAAGTCCTGCAATTATCAATGAGATGGTCGCAGAAACAAACTGCTGTCTCGCCTAACAAAACATCGATGACAAAGACGCCAGGGTTCGCTAAGCTGTGGCCGGCTTGATAACCTATACAGGGTGTTTCCAAACATGCAAAGAAAAAAAGAAAAAAACATTTTTCCCCTTTGAAAATTTAAACAAAGAAGACACAAACAACAAATTGCACAATTTATTGCCTGGCATATTTGGCTGTATCTCGTCACGTGCATACTACAGTAAAAATTAAGTAAATGAAGCAGACAGACGAATTCTTTATAACTGACATTGCGGCTGCCCTGGTAAAACAGGCACTTATGTTTGATGGTTGTTGAATTTGTGCTTTAGTTATAAAGGATTCGCCTATCTGCTTCATTTATGTAATTTTTACTGTAGAATGCACCTGACGAGATACCGCCAAAAATGTCTGGCAACAGATTATGCAGTCTGTTGTTTGTGTCTTCTTTGTTCAAAGAAAACCATTTTTATTCACATTATTTGCTCTACGTCAGTGTTTCTCAACCTTGTTAAAACTGCGCCTCATCAAAACAGAGGGAGGCGACTTTTTCCACCTGACAGCTAACTACAACAGGAAACAAAAACATATGTACCTCACAGTGTTTGCGTGTACGTGTGCGCGCCCGCGTTCGTGTATGTAATCCGATGTCACACAATTACAACTGTTAGCTAATGCGACATCTGCCGCTGCTTAGAGATTCCCATCTCATATATGTGGCTGGAGGGTTGTTTCTGATACACAAAGCACTACGATAACGTCCACTCGTTTTCTGCGTTTGGTTGTTGTTATTGACTCGTCTGAGAAAGTTGTTTTCCACAAATTGGAAGTCCTTGAGGTAGTAATCCTACAGGCTGGGAGAAAACCACCACCTACTCACCTCGTTACATGATAAGGCAGAATTGTCTCCCGGCCCACGGAACTTTTCTACGGCCTACCAATGGACGCCGGCCCAGGAGTTGAAAAACACTGTTCTAAACGCCAAAAACTATTTTTTTTTAAACATATTTCAGGGCGTGTCCACCACTGCCAAAGAACACCTATGTTTTGTTGATAACATACAACTGTTGTGTGACGGATGGGTGTTTAAAAGGGCTGAATGTAAAATGGATCAGCGTGCCCAATTTATGACCCTTTGAACACGACCGGCTCCGAAAATAGGGTTGGTTCATTCGTATAAGGACAGGTGGGGTTATGCGTGTTAGTTGACATATTTATGTGTCCCACGTATAAAAACTTATGAGACACCCTGCAGAATGAGGCCGTTGTTAAGAGAAATCTTATTAATGAGAACAGAGCCGGGCTATGCGATCTGCAGTACTATTAATTATTAATGAGGCGAGAGAGAGAGAGCGAGAGAGAGAGAGAGAGAGAGAGAGAGAGAGAGAGAGAGAGAGAGAGAGAGACGGGCAATCGATACGTCACTACGATAAGGGAAATGGCTAAAACTGCGGCCAATAATGCAATGTTCTTTCCGACTGTGTAAGCCCAATGACACGCCGTAAGCATCTCATTCAATGCGGGTCATGGTCGTGCAGCATCAATAGCCGGTGGTAGGCAATAAACCCTGGGGGGTGAGGCGGAAGACAGGACGTGCTGCGAACTCTGCGTATTAACAATTTTGAACATGTCTATACAAGGATTGTTGTGGGCTGTTTAGTGATCATGTCCCCACTGGGGGTTAAAAGCAAGAAGAAGGGCAAAAGGATGAGTCGGAATAAGGAAGACTTCAAAATACAGGCGCTGACCCAAAGGTATCTGTCTGTACTCAGCATCACATGCACGTACATACATACAAACATGCACACATACATACACCTCCTTACATGCTTCGTCCTATATTCTTTATCAGTTAACGGTTTTCAAGATACCTTCATTACGATTTGTTATCTGTCCACTATGCTCTCTTCTTATTCTTGTTCTTTCATCATCATCATCATCATTCATTCATTCATCATCATCTTCTTATTCCTCTTCTTATTCTTATTCCTCTTCTTATTCTTCGTCTTCCTCTTGTTCTTCTTCTTCTGTCTTGCTGCTTATGTCGCAAAGCGTCATAGAGGGGAGTTAGATATAGTTACCTGTCATTTGTTAGTTACCTGTCATTTGTTAGTTACCTGTCATTTGTTAGTTACCTGTCATTTGCTAGTTACCTGTCATTTGTTAGTTACCTGTCATTTGTTAGTGGCATAGCTTGTGTTGATTTCCCATTATGTTTCTGTAGTGCCTCTTTTACTCCCTCCGCCCATCTCTTTTCTGGGCGGCCTCTTGTCTTGTAGCTGGCTGTCTTCTCGTTATCATTCTTTAAAACCACATCCCCGTAGCCTCTACAGAATATCTCACCAAAAACAACCGTACTATCCAAAACGTTTCCTAGTGCCTGTTGCATACGCTAGGCAGGACAACACTCACGGTAAACATATTCGCTTATCTCCATCTCTGTACACATTAAGCGAAAGGGTTCAAATTTCCGATACGCAAACAGAAGCTCAAGAACATCGATACGCCACCATCTTGCTTTGCATGCAAGTACTCATCCCCCAACTGCGTGTGTAAAATTTTCGCTGCCGGAACACAGCATGGCTTGACTCTTACTGTTTATGGAATGTTACTAACACTGTAGCGTCGTTGCCCGCTAGGTAAATACATATTTGGTAGTATTAATTAGGAAAGAGGTGCAGGGGTCTACCAACACGAAGATGCGCACATGATTCATATAAGCGACTCCTAGAATATGAAAGTTCATGAGGCGGGAGTGCAGGTAGAGAGAAGAGTTTTCTTCATGCAGACCGTGACGAGAGCGACGTTCTGCAACGAACCTGCTACACGATGATGATGATGAGTACTAACTGGCTGTTAAATTCGTTAACATTGTAACTAAAGCTTCCGGTCGTTGTCGCGTAAGTCTGTGGTTTACAACCTGGGGGCATTACGAAGTTTCAAGTGGGGTGTCAAGCATTTTTGAAATTTATTACATTTGTCATCTCGTATACCAACCCCCCCCCCCCCCACAGCGCCCCCCCCCCCCCCCAAATAAGTGCTCCGTTCTTCTTCTAACTCAAGTCTGAGTCCAAAAAAGCTCAGCAAAGTGCCCCAGAGACCAGCCAAAATTACTAGAAGTCCAAGTGGAAACAAAAAATCCCGACCCTTACCAGGGATTGAAACCAGAACCTCTAGCACTAAAGGCGGACACCATGTCTCGAGACAACAAAGAGACACTTTTTTGTGTGTTAAACATACGGGTAACAACAACAACAAAAAGTCGGCGTCTGTGACTTAGGCGTTGTGAACGAGATTCGTAATGACCGGGTGCCGGGTTCGATCCCAGTTGCAGGTGATTTGGCGGCAGAACGTTCTGCAGTGGTTTTGACAGTTGTACCCAGAGCTGACCGTTCAGTAAGCAATGGCAAACTACTGAACAAGCTCTGCATGTAGAAAGACAAGGAAATACGTCAGACGAACAGACAGACAGACAGACAGATACGCAGACAGACAGACAGACAGACCAGACCAGACCAGACCAGACAGACAGACAGACAGACAGACAGACAGACAGACAGACAGACAGACAGACAGACAGACAGACAGACAGACAGACAGACAGACAGACAGACAGACAGACAGACAGACAGACAGACAGACAGACAGACAGACAGACAGACAGACAGACAGACAGACAGACAGACAGACAGACAGACAGACAGACAGACAGACAGACAGACAGACAGACAGACAGACAGACAGACAGACAGACAGACAGACAGACAGACAGACAGACAGACAGACAGACAGACAGACAGACAGACAGACAGACAGACAGACAGACAGACAGACAGACAGACAGATAGATAGATAGATAGATAGATAGATAGATAGATAGATAGATAGATAGATAGATAGATAGATAGATAGATAGATAGATAGATAGATAGATAGATAGATAGAAAACAGAAAGAACCATTATGCAACATTCTACTCACCCAATCCCCCTTTTGACGCAATCAAACACCATCAGCGCCTTGCTGGGTCGCGGGACTTTGGGAATCTTTGGCGACTTCCTGAACGATCGGGACCCGCTCTGCGGTTTAGTGTAGATCCGAGCACTCCTCTTGATGGTCTCGCCTAAGACCGAAGGGGTCGTCGAGGTCGAGGACATGTTGGATGCAATGGAGACGCCGCCGAATGAGTGACTCCTGGACACGGGGGCTCCACCGCGTCCTGGCGTATCCCGCAGCGACATGATGTTGCTGGAGCTGCTGCTGAAGTGGTGCTGTTGGTTCTGCAAGTAGTGGTGATGGTATAGGTGATTGTGGTTGAGGACGCCTTTGCTGTTGTTGTTGCTGGTGGTGGTTGTGGTGGGCGATGAGGTGTTGATGTTATAGCAGGTGTCCAGGCTTGGGATGCTGTTGCTCTTGCTGCCCTGGCTGATGCTGTAGAGTAGGCGGTTATCACCCCCGTGATTCGGGGTGTACAGGATACGTGTCATGGAGGCGGAAGAATCTGAGGAAGATAAGGCGGTCGTCATTTAACTATTTCAGCGCTAAACAACACATGATGTATGACAGACTCTTCACCATAAAACCCAACCATATTGCAATGCGTTCATATATATGTTTAATTTGGTCAGAGTACACTAAAGAAACCTGGCTTTCCTCCAGTGGCCACTTCTATTATGTATTTATTGTATTTAAAAGTTCTTTAATTAGGAAACTTTAGTGATGGGTTAACATTCTAGGTGTCTGTTGCAAAAGCTACTGGGACTTAAAGAGTATAGTATAGTAAGGCAAACTAAATTAGCCAAACAACACAAGTCAAGTGTAATGTGTTGTGTAATTGCACCGCTTGGATGAAGTATACCCATACTGTAGTGAAAAAGTGCAAGTTAGTGGAAGCGTGCCAAATGAGGATAGCATGAAAGCATTAGAATCGAGAAGAGGTTATTTAAGCTTTGAACGAATGAGAAAGTTCAGTCTTGTTTTCGATCTGGTCTTGTGGCGGCTGGAGTGCTTGAGTTGAACGCCTCCTGAGAAGAATGAGTTAATGAATTCAGGCCACTACCTCGAGAAAACCTGGCTAATCAGTTCACGACAACATGGAATAGAGGCGAGAATGTCTGTCCAGCAGAGCAGTTTATGACTGCTGATTTGGAAGCAGTGAAGTGCAAGCGTGAGATGCACTAACTGTGAGAATCCTGTACATCAGATGTACAAAACGGTTACGGAGAAAACCCACAGGACGACACCATTTACCTCACCATCAAATTTACACCCGCTACAGGGTTCCGGCGCCCCACTGTGAGAAAAACAAGAACAGACCCACTGAGTCCCCAATAAGCATGTCACAGGATTAGCTAACTGGAGGCTTCCTTCCAAGTCGGAGTGTATATACGCGAGCGGCAAAGAACAACCAACTGCAAATGTTCACGCAAAACTCAGGTCCTGGCACAAACCCAAAGTCTAAATGGACAAACATCCATGACTTTTCGATTAGGCTTACAGCTGGTGAAGGAAGAAAAAGAAGAAGAAGAACAACAACAACAACAAAACAACAATAACAAGAGTATAATACCTAGTCGTGCTGGACATGTAATAAACACGTTCAAACCTGTATGTGTAGACAATAGCTGCGACCGTAGTAACACTAACTACAACCAAACTACACACTTAACCATACTCTAGTACAAGAAAGTTAACTGTATAATAATGACCATGATTTGGCCAGCTGTTGGCTCTTCCGTTAGTAAAAAACACACATGAGTAATTTGGTCATTACATGAAAAAAAGTGTAATCAAAGCCTATTTTCAGAATATGAATTTAAATAACCAGAACGCTCATCGGGGTCTTCCTAAATAATTTAAATCAACATATACTGAAAGTTCATGTGGTTACTTTAGGACTTTCGTGGTAAAATGCACAGAGAAACAACGCGGAATGTGTCATCTGTCTATTTCAGTCTAAAGCATTTACTTTTTCCCCCTTCCGTCACCAATTCTGTGGCAACAGGCCACGCACCATTTTGCGAATCTACAATTCACAACACCACGTTGAGATCACAGTCGAAAGACATTCCGAATGAAATCCGCTGCTCACAGTGTCACGACACGCACTCAACTCAGTAGCTAGGAGACACAACTTATCATTTCAGTTTACAGATAGAGGAAAATGCAAATGGTGTTGTTGTCAATGTTGCTGATGAAGGCTAATCGCCGCAACATCCTATGTCTGTTCGCTGTAATTTGTTTTGTAAAGCTAACATATTCTTTACGTATTCCTTACCCTTTCCGACTTCTACTCTTCATTGTATTTTCCTTTCTATTTTCCCGACTATATTTCCATAGGCGGCGGAAGGAGCAGGGCTGCCAATAGGATTTTTATCAAAACCCATCTAAACTGACCAAAAAAAAAAACCCACGCAATACAAAAGCAAAGAACAAACGAAAACAAAAACCCAAGATTTGATAAATAGTACACATTTTATAGTTACGAAACGAAAAATGTAAGCACTTTTATATAAGGATATATTTTTTAATAATAATAATTTCAAAAATCTGAAAGCAAGGCGTCATATTAAAACCCAGGTTTGGGGAGAAAACCCACGTATTGGCAGCCCTTGGAAGGACGTGGGCTATCATCTTCTGTCCGTATTCGCTGGATTTCCCTTGTCCCAAAGACTTCACCCAACTAGCAACCAAACAATGTCCTCAAGGGTCCACTGACAATTAGCGTCGTTGATCACCGGAAGGAAAGGGGTCACTTTCTCACGGCTAAAACAGTCAGACCACACGGCGATGCGGAATTTCCAACAAAGAGGATACTGGATACTCCAGGCGCTGTTCATGTGTCGGCTGTGTCGTACTTCCTGGGAAACGACTGGCGAGAACAAGAGTTAAGAACACAAGAAGAAGGAGATCTACAAACACTGTCACACTGAGAACATATTATAATATACAACTGTCATTAACTGTCTATAGTGGGCAGTATGAGAAGGCCAATGTGTCGCTGCGGCAAGACGCTGGCCTGCAGATCAATCAAATGCATTTCCTAAATGTTCGTTTATTCTAGGCAAAGCATTACGGTCTAATGTGTTTGTAAATTGTTGCTATGTTTGTTATTCGACCTATGCTTCTTTAATTTAAATGTCTGTAACCTATGGTACCATTTCAATGGTTTGAGATGAATAATGTCCGTATTTCATAGTTGTGGATTCCAAGCTGTACGATAGACATGGCCAATGAAAACATCTATATTTGGGGAAGTCTAGGTGACCATGTTTTTAGTGCACTTGTTTCCACAGCGAGGCGCAAACGTCATTTGCAGGTGACAGGTTCGATTCCCGACACGGTAACTATAGTTTTCGATTTTTATGTTGTCTACTGTGTTTTTCTACCTTTCCATTTCTTTCTATGAGTGCAAATCAATACATTGCCTGCAAATCCAAGGTCGTGTGTTCAAATCAGAATGGAGCCAGACTTCTTTCAAAAATGACCTTGGCTCCCAGTTTTACCCAGCCATAAAAGTGGGCACAAGACCTGAGAAGTAAAGGCGGTCGGCGTGACGACGACCACATCACCCACCGAGTGCCGATCGGTCTATAAAATATTAGTCTAGCCCTATACGCCAAAAACGCGTGAAAGCCCGGAAAGGGATCCATCATTGTACTGTTGTGGGCGGTCTTAGACTGGGTGGGTGTCCCTGAGCCTGAACATTTACAGCCGCATGGCTAGTACAGTCGCCACAAACTGTGCTAGGTGAGATGTTAACTTCTGCCCATGACAACAACAACAACCGTCCATAGCCTTATCAAGGATTGGAACCAGGATCTCTTCCCGTGTGGGTTTCCGGGTCCCATTAGGGGTGGGGAAGGGGGGAGGAAAAGACCCACTGTCTCCCAACAAGCATATCGTATAAGTCGACTAATTAGTGGTTATTTCCATCGAAGTATGAGTGCATCTAATGGAGAAACAAGGAACTAACGGTCTGCATACAAATACATCGTATTTGTAATACGGATGTGCATTCTGGAACAAGACCAAAGTTGAGAAGCAGGCGAACAACAAGCTGCGATGAACACTGACTGATAAATAGTGCGCTGTGTATGGAAGTTGTGCAGTCGATAGGAGCATGGTTGGTCACTGGGCTCAGAGAGTTAAGGCTTTAGAAAACGAAGAAACGAACACGAGGACAGTATTCATCCTGTGAATAAATGGCTATGTGATCAGTATACAACGTGATACAGAAAATACCGGCGTTCCTTGTTTCCCAGTAGTGCAGGCTCACAGTTATAGACAGAAATTATATAGAAAATAGCATGTATAAAGAAAAACGATTGCGACCAACCAGCCCCCCGAAACGGGAGAGGCCCGGCCAGCTAACACCAGATAGTCATTTAAAGTTGACCACTTTCAGCACAAGCACACACATTATTATATGTCCTTACTATATGTACTTCTCCTTCCTCTCTCTCTCTCTCTCTCTCTCTCTCTCTCTCTCTCTCTCTCTCTCTCTCTCTCTCTCTCTCTCTCTCTCTCTCTCTCTCTCTCTCAACCCCTTTTCACATACAATTATCAAATCTTCCTCCCTTCCTCAAGCCTCTATCCTCTATCACATATCATGTTTATTTGAAATGTATTTACAAAATTATGTGAAAAAAAATGTACATAACCAGCAATTATGGCCAAAATAATCCCCAAAATTCCCCCCCCCCCCCCCCCCATTTGAAATAAAGCTGAAACAGACCTCCCTCACTCGCCCATTGTAAATAAACAAACCCTTCTTTAGACAATTTGAACATGTTTAAAATTATAACTCAGTTTATTAGTATGGTTAACGTGCATGTATCTGATTATGTACAGCATCGAACACAAACACAGACAAAAGGCAACACTTGTAAATACACATACAAAATTGACAAATAAAAGTTTTTTTTTTTTTTAAACCTGAACAAGGACAACACAATGGATGGAACATGCATGAGTGTCTCAAGTGGCAGACTAGAGATAACACCAACAACAATATCAAAATGGATTGTGTTTTCGGGATGTCCAATCAACTAACAGTTTGTTTTCGTGACTTGTCTATTTTCAGTCAACTTCCTAGTGACCCCCCCCCCCCTTTTTTTTCCCATTTCTGTTTTCATGTGCGTCTACAAAGACATAAACTTGGTTCAGTAGTTCTCCCCCATAAACCCGCCGACCCCCATCCCCTGACCTGGCGTGATTTCTTTATCTTTGATGGTCTGTTGTTTTCAGATTGACCGTGTCCTGTTGGCTTGAGACTGGGATATTCGGGCGACACACAGTAGGCGAATAGTCCATGCAAACATTCTGATATGTTTCAGTATTGTTGTACTGTCGTCACTGATGGCATGCACGCTCCGGGAGGTGAACGTAGAAAACAATACACGCCTTACACTCAGACACGATCAAATATAAATTACTGAAAGACAATACTCGGTGTATTTGTGCAGGGACAGGCACGTTGGCGGAC